TTCTGGAGCCCTGTAATGCTAATGCATTAAGTAAGTTAGATGGCATCCAGTCTAAAGCTCTTCGCATTGTAACTGGCGCTATGAAGTCAAGCCCTATTAATGTACTCCAGGTTGAATGTGTGGATCCTCCTTTAAAACTAAGGAGACAATTTTTATGTGATTAAATTTCTATTTAGAGCTCTTCAACTTTCTGACCACCCTCTTTTTAACAAGTTACACCATTTATTGCGTAAAATTAATAATTCGGCATATTGGAATAACAAGTCGCTTCCTTGCTTGGTAATCAGCTACATTAAATTTGCTTCACTGCTAGCACCCACCCACCGATCACAATATCTTCCCATTTTTTCTATTAATTATGAAGCTCTTACTGTCGCGGTTGAGACTTTGTGGGCGTTCGGTGTGGTTGTCTTACTCTATCTTTATACCTAGTGCAATGAAGTATATTAACTACTATCAAATACTAACACATTCTTTAGAGGTTCAATCAGAAACCACACAGAATGTGATGTCTCATCGTCTGCCTACAACCCACACCAACAGGGTGTACAATTTACTGAGGCAGACCGCGATTATTCGTACTTTCGGCATTGAACAATTTAACCATGTTACTATACTAGTGCAAGTTATATTAATGTTTCATACCTTATTCTGTCTTGTGTTAAGTTTGCTATAGATATCTGCTTCGCTTATTTCAATTTATTCCCTTCGTCAATTGTCAATATCATCAAGGAACCTGTACAGAGAAATTATACCATGAATCTCAGAGTTGAGACACTAAGCATCTTCCTCGCCATGATTAATACCTATACATTACATGTATACACACATCAACATTCACATATACATTCACGTCGATTTTCTACTCATTTTACATTTCGTTTCATGATTGGCACAGGACACTTTCGGCGTATCCTGTTTGATTCTCATAAGCCTTTGATCATGAAGCCAAGGTGTGTCAAGCAACCCTCGCACACACTCATTTTGGCCTCCCTTGTATGTTCAGTCAAGTGCACTAGACTAATATCCCGCGCAACGCCCGCAAGCGTTCGCCAGTACAATTGCCAATCCATGTTACAATTGTACTGCTCGTATCATAAGTAAGCCATTCCTCTAGCTAACATCATCCCGCGCAACGCCCGCAAGCGTTCGCCAGTACAATCGCCAATCAATGTTACGAAGGTACTGCTCTTAATATAGGTAAGTCCCTTTTTTGACCTACCAATCGACCAGTGAAATCATAATACACATCACATAAACCATAAATAGTAATTAATTGACTCGGGGAAGATACTTAGCTCTCATATCCAGAATATCGCAAACAGCACACCTTTCAGCCGGAGTCGGAAAGGAAAAGAAAACTTTTCTGACAGGCAAAAACCGCGGAGCTATGGACCACAGATCAAGTATTAAACTCGGTTCACCACAGATTACAGGATTTTGTTGCCATATCCAATATTTACATTTCGCGACTTGGTCACGTTTGCCCGTCGCGACACTTACCATTTCACCCAAAATAATTTATCTATTATAGACTCTTTACGTAATGACAAAAATGCTAATATTAATCTAATGAGTATTGTTAATACAGAATGGCCAGACTTACATTTACTGTGACGCATCTAAACATCCATCTACTGGGATAGTTGGAATCGGTGTTTACCACCAACAGTATAAAATAACACAAAAAATTAAATTACCCCCAGAAACCTCAGTATACACAGGAGAATGTTATGGAATCCTTAAATCATTAGAATACATTTTGCTTGCACAACTCAAAAGGACAATTATTTTCTCCGATTCCAAAAGCATTTTACAGGCAATAGAAAAATTTCCTTTTAAAGCTTCTTCTTCTAACGTCTATTTGATCGATTGTAGGAAATTATTACTGAATTGTACTTTGAAGAATCTAAATATGCTCTTTGCGTGGATACCTGGCCATCACAACATCACAGGCAATGAAGTAGCTGATAAACTCGCTAAAGATTCAGTGAATTGTGGTGACGTCTTTCCCTATAAAAATTTAGTAAATGATCTTCTTTTACTTCCTAAAGTACATCTACGCATATCTTGGGAAGAAAATTTGGATAATAGTAGTCGCATCAAAGGTAAACATTATAAATTAATTCAACATTGTATTACCGATAAACCATGGTTTTCTAAAATTCATTTAAGTAAGTTTGCCACATCAAGTCTCATAAGAATGCGCCTAGGTCATAACTGTTCTTCTTCCCACCTGGCTAAACTGGGCATAGTAAATAATAATATTTTTGCTTGTGGTACTGAAGCAGAGGACTTAAATCACATCTTCTTCGAGTGTCCCCTCAATGATTCCGCCTCTTTTATGGATTCATTAATATCCCTTAATGTACCTCTCCCTACTTCTATTCCTTCCTTACTGTATTATAAAAATTATAATATATATAACAAGCTATCTGAATTCATAACTAAACATAATATAAAATTATAAATAATTTATAACAAATAATGTAATGTATTTTATATACTTAAATAGACCTACTACTTACGTTTCAAAATTTTACGTACCTACCTGATCCTAATCCTTCCAAATTCCGTTTCACAACCGTTTTATTTCATTAATTTGGTTTCCTTACCTTTTACCCTGTCGTGGCCAATGCACAAACCATGCGAGCCATTATAATAATAATCAAAAAAAAATCAGGGCTGTATGGACTCAGACTCCTTTGCCCGTCCCAACAGGGACACATTAACCAAAAAAAAAACTGATGCTAATTCATACAGACCAATAGCCCTCCGAAGTACTATGGATAGTCTTGGTATATTTACTACCGATATAAGATTATTATTTAGTAACAATGAATCAACACTTGCAGCTTTCTTAGATATAAATTCTACCTATGATAACGTCGATCTGCACGTATTAAAGCTAAAACTCCTAAACCTAAAAGTTCCTCTTATAATCACTAATTTTATAATTAATTACTTGTCTGGTAGAGTGATTACAATTGATACGGGCGATTCAAACTATAAATCTAGAACTTTATGGAAGGGTTTACCTCAGGGATGTGTCATAAGCCCTATCTTGTATAGTATTTATACACATGACCTAGATAAAGCCATTCAAAATTCAAATAGGGATTGTAACAATGTGTCGGTATTACAATATGCAGATGATTTAGTTGTATATGTTTCGGGACGATCAATTTTAGAAATAAGTAATATTTTAAGTAGAGCACTGTCCAAACTTAAAATTTGGCTAGATTTTAACGCTCTTAATCTCTCCGTTTCAAAAAGCTGCGTAGTGTTATTTTCTAGAATGCGTCTGCCCCCTTCTGTTTCCGTATGTTTCGACAATAAACCTATCCCGGTACAAAACGAAAAAAAATTTTTAACAGTTATTTTAGACGCTAAATTATCAGGTTTATCTCACTGCTATTATGTTACAGCTCGATGTGAACGAGTTTTAAATATCATGAGATGCTTAACAGGTGTTTGGTGGGGTGGACACCCATATACTTTGAAACTTATTTACAATGCTCTTTTACGAAGTATTTTAGACTATGGAAGTTACTTTCTTGAGCCATGTAATGCTGTTGGGCTTTAAAAGCTTGGTGGGATACAGTCTAAAGCTCTTCGCTTAATAGCCGGAGCAATGAAATCTAGCCCTATCAATGCTTTACAAGTGGAATGTGTCGACCCTCCTCTGCGACTCCGTCATCAATATCTTTCTGACAAGTTTTTGTTCCGTGCTTTGCAATTTGCTAAGCACCCCCTTCATTCCAAATTATCTACTTTTTCACATATAGTAACAACATCTTCTTACTGGAGGCTTAAGTCACTACCTTGTTTAGTTGTAAGTTTTCGTAAATTTTCCTCTCTGCATTCCCCTACTCATATCTCTCAACGTCTGTCAATTTTTTCTGCAGACTATGAAGCTTTAACTCTTGTTCCTAAAATATATTTTACTTTAGATATATCTCGATCCATTTATTCTGCAAATGTTGATTTTAATATAATCATAGATAGAGACTGGCCAGATCGACATTACATTTATAGCGATGCATCTAAAAACTCTTCCTCAGGCCTCGTTGGTGTTGAGTTTATCATCAACAATCAAAAATTGTCCAAAAAATTAAACTACCACCTGAAACTTCTGTTTTTACTAGTGAATGCTACGGATTATTTAAAGCTTTAGAATATATTTATCTGATGAAATTGCATAAATCTGTTATATTTTCTGATTCTAAAAGCGCGCTTCAAGCACTTCAAAAATTTCCTTTTAAATATACCAATCATCCTGTAATCATAGATTGTAGAAAATTGCTCTGGCAATGCCATTTAAAAGGTTTCGATGTAGTTTTTGCCTGGATACCTAGTCATATAGGTATTTCTGGCAATGAAATTGCTGATAAACTTGCCAATGATGCTGTGGATTGTGGAGATGTTTTTCCATACAAAAACTTTATTAATGATCTTTTAGGTCTGCCTAATTCGGATCTGCGTGAATCTTGGGAACAAGTATGGTCTGTTTCTAGTAAAAATAAAGGAAAGCATTACTCACAAATTCAAACTTTCATTCCTACAAAGCCTTGGTTTTATAATTTTAGATTTAGCAAAATAACGACCTCTATCATAACGCGAATGAGACTGGGTCATGTTTGCACTCCTTCTCATCTGGCCAGATTAGGAATAGTTAATAGCAGTAAGTGTAATTGCGGCGCTGATATTGGCGATTTAAACCATATTTTTTTTGTCTGCTCCTTAAATGACTGTTCCTCTTTTATTGACTCCTTAACATCCCTTCGTACTCTTCTCCCGACTTCTATAAATACTTTGCTATATTCTATGAAATATGATATTTATTTATGTATTTCAAATTTTATCCTTAAACATAATATTAAACTGTAAATATGTAAATACTTACCTGATCCTTTCCTAAAAATTCCGTTCCTTTTTTTTATCCTGTTTCCCTACCTTTACATTTGTATGTGGCTGACGCACAAACCGTGCAGGCTATAAAGGAATAAAAAAAAATAAAAAAAAAACTTCAGTCCGTAATTCTTGCCTAAAATTAGTATTATAATATCCGAATTAACAGTGATTATACGGCATTTCAAAAAGTTATTGAAATAACTTTATTTATTAAAAGTTTAAAAAATGAAACCAACTGTAGCTGCTGATGAAATGTTTCCAGAAGGAGTAGGGCCATACATGGACTTGGAAGAAGTAAGGTTTTAGTAAAATTAATTGAAGAATATATTACACAATAAGTAGTAATCATCTGTAAGATCAATAATTCTTTTGCTATAAACCTATAGTGATAAATATGTGCAAGCGTAACATTATATGGATGGATTATGCACCTAGTAGTGCATAACCCTTCCCTGCATAGTCCGTCCTTTTAATATTACGCTTGTTCCAGTAATGGTTTCTTAAATAATTTTATTTTTACTAAATATTTTTGTACCTGTTGAAAGCCTCGCTGAAACCTTAACAGATTAGAATTCTAATCAAATTTCCTTTAGATCAAGCAGTTAAATGCACATAGCTTCACTTAATTGCCACACCTGAAAAATATCAGATTTGGCTTTGCTGGGCTAGAGATATTCAGAAACTGTCATGACATGTTGCCCAGTCTGTCAATGAAAATGAACTGTTCATTGAAAATTAGCAACTGGTGCTTTATCTTCTTTCATTTCCTGACCAACATAACAGACCTTATAGAAAAAAATAGGTGTGTGTACTTATGTAGGCGCGTGAGAAGTTATCCTTCTTTGGCATCGTTTAAAATTAGTTTTTAATTGCATGCAAATAATTAATTACAATGGACAAACAAACACAAATAATCTAACAGAAATACTAGAAAGTATGTTCGCAAATCTACAACAAGTCATGATTGCCATGATGGACAAAATGATGGATCGTATGGTCCAGCTGGTTGCAAGTCTAGTGTCAAAATGATCCGCAGCGTCAAAATTATGACATGGAATGCCAATGGCTTGACTGAACGTCGTGAAGAACTTTATACGTTCCTAGTAACAGAAAAAATCGATGTGGCATTAATATCGGAAACAAGGTTCACTGCCAAGTCCCATTTATCATTAAAAAACTTCAATATCTACACCACAAATCACCCGTCAGGCAACAGCCACGGAGGAACTGCAGTAATTATCAAAGAGAACCTTAAGCATTATGTACAGAAAGAATACCAAAGCGAAAAAATTCAGGCGACGACTATAAAACTGCTACTTAAAGACAAAACAGATATAACACTATCTGCGGTATACAGTCCACCTAGACACACAATAACTGAAGCAGACTTAAATAAGTACTTCTCAACACTCGGACACAAATACATATGTGGAGGTGACTGGAATGCGAAACATACCCATTGGGGATCTCGTCTCATCACTCCTAGGGGTAGACAACTTTACCAAGCAGTACAAACGCTTAAATTAGAGTGCATGACTCACTGTAAGCCAACATATTGGCCAACAGATAGAAATAAGATACCTGACCTGCTGGATTTTTATGTAACTAAAAACATCGGCCGAAATTATATGACTATAGAAGCCTATTCTGACTTATCATCTGACCACACACCTGTCGTATTAAACGTTAACTCAACAGTTGTACTCAAAGAACCCCCCTTAAGAATATACAACAAAAACACAAACTGGCAAGAATTTAAAGATAAAATAACCTCAGAATTAAATTTAAGCACCACAATCCAAACGACAAACGACATAGAGACAGAAATAGACAAACTGAACAAAATTATACACAGTGCAGCTAAAACAGCAACTAAAGCAAAGAAAAAACTCCCACCAAAATACAACGAATATCCAAAATCTATCAAGGACTTAATAGCACAACGACGGCACCTCAGAAAAATATGGCACAGGACTAGATATCCATCGGACAGAACAGCTTTTAATAGATCCTCTGAAACATTAAAAAAGATGATCTATGCATTCCAAAACGAGAATCTGCAAACTTTCCTTTCTGGGTTAACTCCTACTATCGATACAAACTACTCTCTATGGAAGTCTACTAAAAACCTGAACCGTCCACAAACGCAGATACCACCAATTAGAACAGCCCAAGGAGATTGGGCTAGATCAGATGCAGAAAAAGCTACAATATTTGCAGAACACCTCCGTAAAGTATTTCAACCATTTCCAGAAATAACTGCAGAACATAGGACTGAAATAAAAGAATACCTCCAGAGTGCACTTCAAATGTGTCCGCCGATAATGTCAACAAGTCACCAAGAAGTAATAAAAGAAATACAAATGCTGAAAGAGGGAAAATCTCCAGGATACGATCTAATAGATGCAAAACTTCTGAGAAATTTACCAAAAAAAGAGATTGTGCAAATAGTAAGGATATTTAACGCCTGCCTCAGACTCTCATATTTTCCTGCACACTGGAAGATAGCACAGGTTGTTATGGTACCCAAACCCGGTAAACCACCGCACGATGTCTCTTCCTATAGACCCATAAGTCTCTTGTCAGTCACTGGAAAACTTTTTGAAAGAATTTTGTTAAACAGAATAAAAGATTACCTTAAAGACACCATCCCTAACCACCAATTTGGGTTTCGAGAGCACCATGGTACTGTAGAACAAATACACCGTATTGTGGACACTATAAACAGAGCGCTAGATAGTAACCAGTATTGTTCAGCTGTATTTTTGGATATAAGTCAAGCTTTCGACAAAGTCTGGCACGAGGGTCTTCTCTATAAAATAAAAAAAACGATACCGAACTCATTCTACCACATAATTAAGTCATACCTCCAGGACAGATGCTTTGAAGTGAAAGTGAATACTGATCTCTCAGCTTTGTATGAAATAGAATCGGGTATACCCCAGGGTAGTATACTGGGACCAATATTGTATACTATATTTACAGCTGACCTACCAACCACGGATCAAACGATAGTTGCTACATACGCAGATGATACCGCAATTCTATCCTCACATTCCAATCCAGTAACAGCAGCTGCACAGGTTCAATTACATCTCTACGAAATAGAGAAATGGCTTAAAATATGGCGAATAAAGGCTAACCAAAGCAAGTCAACTCATGTCACATTTACCCTCAGAAGAGAAACTTGCTCTCCAGTAACATTAAATGGCGAAGAAATCCCTCAGGAAGAATATGCAAAGTATCTAGGTATGCACTTGGACAGGAGACTCACATGGCAAAAGCACATATGGACTAAACGAAAGCAACTGAATATAAAACTGCGTAATTTATACTGGATCCTGAAAGCAAAATTATAGCATACAAAGCCATCTTGAAACCAATATGGACCTACGGCATACAGCTATGGGGTACAGCCAGCAATAGTAATATCGAAATACTTGAAAGATTCCAAACGAAAACACTGAGAGCAATGTTTAATATTCCACACTATATAAGCAACAAATACATTTATCATGATTTAAAAATAAAAACCGTCAAAGAAGAGATCACCAACAACAGTATAAAATATCAAGAGAGATTATCTAGACACAAGAATGCACTAGCCGTAAAACTAGGTGGATGTGGATCTCTACAGCACACAAGATTAAAAAGACATAGTGTCCCTTCACTCTTAGATAGATTCTGCCACAGGAAGTGAAAGTCACCCAACAATTTGGAAAGGCTCACCGCGTTTAAACAAAATAAAGATACATTATCAGACAAAAGCAGGGCTTATTGTTGTTAAAAACAGATAGCCATGATACAGAATAAGAAAGGAAAAAAAAATAATAATAATAAAAAGTCTGGAAAAGGACATAGTCAATAAAGTTCAGTTTTAATTTGAAAAAATAAATAAATAATCAAAATATTCAATTAAAATCGCTACTGAATATAATTTATTAGAACATATGTGATTTGCACTTGTATGAAACTCAAACACGTATTCCGAATATACAAACTAGAAACATGTGGATAAATATTATAAATATGAATACCTATAACTGTTACTTTATTACAAAAAATAAAGATGTGGTTTTTGGTTCTACTACACCAATGGTCAAGAGATGGCGCTGTAGTCTCCTGAATCGCGCTTTGGTTCCGTTGTTCCAGATTAATAAATACTTTTGATAGGCCTTCACAATGCAGTCGTTAGCACCCACTAAATAGAGATTCTATTTCTATTTTGTTGGTAGATTTTCTTAATGTGCGGTAAACACAAAATTTTAAAATTTTGTGTTACAGTGATGCGCGCGCATCTTAAAATTTCACTCTCATCATTTTTTCATAACGCGCCTGAAGAAGTATAACTTCAAAAACTTGAATCTATAGAGCAGAGAATGGAAATTATTGCAATGATATTGTAGAGTTATGCAATTTATGCACTTCATTCTTTTCAAAACTGATTTTTGTTATGATTTTAGATAAAACATGAAAAGTTGCAACCTTATACGCAAAAGTTTTTGTATTGTGTATTGATAAATTTCAGGCTGGAGGTCCATCTAATCTACTCATGGATTTAGCTGCAAATGAAAAGGCTGTGCATGCAGACTTCTTTAATGGTGGAGTGAATTTATTTGTATTTACATGAAATTCCTTTTTGAAATTTAAATAATTACTCATCCTCAGATCCAAAATTGTTCAGGACACATTTTGAGCACTTGTGGTGCATCTAGGTATTATTAAATATTGTAGACTCTACTTGAGAAAATCCCATCAGCGAATAAATAAAGTAAATCCTTTTTATGGATAGGTTGGTTTCCAAACTCATGAATTATATAAAGAACTAGCTGACCCAGCGAACTTCGTACCGCCATAAAAAAAATTAATTAAAAAAACATTGTCCAGCGGACAAAATTGTGAATCTAAACCATTCTCAGATCACCTTGAACACACACAAAAAATTTCATCAAAATCGGTCCAGTCGTTTAAGAGAAGTTCAGTGACATACACACTCACAGAAGAATTATATATATAAAGATAACTAATAGGTGTTGTTATTTAGTATATCAACTCGTAAAGTAAGTAAACCATTTCTTTTTTAATTTCAGATTTTGAAGACCTCTTTGATGATGATGATTTGAAGTAAAATTTGAAGACATTAGGCAAAAAATTTACAGAAGTCCAGTGATGTGAAACTATTATTAAATATAATTTATAATTAAGTCTACTTAACAAAGTTTATTTCATTTATTTTAGTGGATTTGAGTGGTATCATGAATAAAACTAAAAGTGCAACAGGGCAGCACTGGGAGTTAGTGATGTTTACCATTTTTGTACCCAATTTTTTGTTCTGTGTAGTAGTTAATCTGGCATGATTGACGAAAATGACGATATTTTTTCTTAATGAAACAGCTCATTACCAATTTGAATGTTTATAAAACAATATATTTCATTCAATTTCATAAAACATTATTAAAACGACAATTTCATGTGCAGCATCTTAAATTTAATGCTAATCAAATAATAACCAACTATCTTTACATTGCTAAACTTATGAAATGTACCCGTTACAAAAGCATAGAAACAAATCCCTTCATATAGCCATGAAACCCAGCCAATAGCTAGTCTTTAAATTTGTGCTCAAGCAAAGCATAAGCGTCATACTGAGATTTGACGCCAGAAAATAAACAGTAAAGACTAGAGATCCAACTAAAACACAGTATAAATTTAACCTAAAGCAGTTCATAAACTAGACTTTAACTATGTATCTCAGCTATTTACCTTTTAAGAGTTCCATTAGCTCAATCGGCTAAAACAGAACCCTATAGGATCACACAGTTGCCTGTCTGTCAGTTGATTTGCTTGGGGTCTACTGGACTTATCATGTTGAAATTTGGTAAAAACATGTACGTCTGTGACCCAACACACATAAACAAAATAAAATATAAATTCCGATTACGGCGGTTACTATTGGGTGTGAATTAGTAAATTAAAAAATTTCAAACTGTAATAACATAGCAAATTAACTCTTTTATCTCTGCAACGTAATGCACATATTCAGAGGTGATAAGCACGGAACGACTGAATTCGTCATTTCATTGGGCCGTACGTAACACGTTTAGTACCTGCGCTCACTGGCGGCACAGCACGGCAAGGAAATAGAAAACAAAAAACATTGATGTCCGATGTTAACATGTTTTAAAGTACATGAGATCAAAGTCGATGATGTGATATTGGCCCATATATTAATAATGCTTAATATAATAAATGTAACAATAAAATAAGCAGTTTTCTTGTTTCAAGATACACCTCTATTTTAACTTAATAAAGAACAATGTTAATAAAAAAAAATGGTTGCCTGTAAAGTCGGTTTTACGGGCGAAGATTTTACGTGACAACGTCTTTTTCTCGGTAGAATATTTATTGATATGAATATAATTAAATTGCACAATAGGAACAAGGAATTGAATGAAAATAAGAATTGCACAAATTTTAACTATAGAAATATATTTTGTTTACTAAAACATTGTACATGTAAACTTAAACTCATCGTAACGTTACCGAGCGTTACACTTTTTCATAAGTGACTCCCAGCCGCAACCTAATTTAAGACGTTGTCACGTCAAAAACGAAATAATAAACAGAGGAACTAAAAAAGACTGCAACTGATGATGAGATACTGTTTTACTAACTTGAGAGGTATGAAATTGAGTAAGCGACAAAATAATTAATCTGAAGATGAACATTGATTTTTAATAAAATCCAAATCAAATGCGACTGATTTACAGATTTTTGCTAATTGCGTTTCGTAACGTTAAATCAGGATTTGTTTTTGTTTAATTCAGTTATGATAATATTATTTCTTCGGAATATATTGCTTCATTAAATTACCAACTAACAGTTTTCTTCAAATAATTATTTCAAAGAAAATAAAAAAGGGTATTTGTATTGGAGACACTTCATTAAAAACAGCTCAATATAGGTATATAAATCATATGTCAAATATTATAAAACGCAGGACAATGTTGTCACTCAAACAAATGGGGTTGCTCAAATATTATAAAGCAGCTCATTTTGTATTGTAAGTGACTCAATTGAAACATTTTATGTCGCTCTTTTATTGATTTCTTCTTTTCTTGGCTCATCATCATCAGCCTATTAATGTCCCCACTGTTGGGGCACAGGCCTTCCCTATGGATGGAATAGGGAGATTAGGCCATGACCCACCACGCAGGCCCAGTGCGGATTGGTGGATGCTAACGATTGCAGATGCAGCCGGGACCAAGGGCACTTAACATGCCTTCCGAAGCATGGAGGAGCTCGAGATAGTAATTTTTTGTCACCCATCCAATGACCGACCAATGCGAAAGTTACTTAATTTCAAAGATCGCAGCCGAACGCGCTAACCACTTGCCCCATCGAGCTCATCTGTATTTACTAATACTATATTTACTAAATGTAAGAAAAAAGTAAGCCAAATTCTGTACTTTTCCACTTTAAATTTTAATTCAGTTTATTCTCAGTTTATTGATTTAACTTAGGCCAAAGATCAAGCATCTCACAGCACATTGCATAAGTTTAGCAGGCCGTAACATTTAAGTGTATTAATATACATCGATGGCTTGCGATACCCAATGGATTTTAACCAAAAATCCTTTTTAATAAGTTTGTTAAAATAATTCATAAATAAGGGCTATGCTAACAAAATCAGGGTCAATAAACGGCGACGAGCGATTTCTACTAACTCCATCAGAAAATATTTCGATTTACATTGTGACGTTTTTAGATTCTAGTTTAAGGAAATTATGGTTAAAATCCCTAGTATTTTGTGTCGATGATGTTCCAGGCTGCTATTGAAGATTAAGTTCTGAACATTGATAAGTTTTAGAGCCTTAAGCTTACAACAGCGATTAAGTCTGTTTCAAAACAATTTCATAATATTTATATATAAAAAAAAAATACAAAATAACGAAAAAATGAAGGATTAAAAAAATTACATAGTAATTTATCGCATTGGCAACAAGTACCCTAAGCACGAACTTTGAAAAATCCGAAATCGCATCGCCAACGTCAGTTTCTATGGAAACTAATCAGCGCCCCTACCGGAGTAAGAACAAACTAGCTTTGTCCAGAGAAAATTGGATACGACGATACGAATACTTTCTCGCTAGTTATTCATGCTTGGGTTACTGTGCTTTTATAGTCAGCTTGTGAATCACTACAGAAAAATTGTGAACTGCATGGTATTACAATTATACATATACTTTTTCAGATTATAATATGAGTGATTGTAGGTGTTCCAATTATATTATGCAATCGCAAATATTATTTCAAGCACAAAATAAATTTTTCATAAAAAGTAAAATGTACTGATTTTGAAAAAATATTTTTTTGTTTCATATAACTATTTATTACCATTTAATTTGTAACTTTAAACAAGTACATAATTCTTATATCCATTTAAAATTAGGACAATTGGCAAGTGGTTATAAGATTGGTTTGAAATAAAAGGGCTGTTGGTGGGATGACGACGTACGCATTTTAATTATTGCAAACAGAATCCATGATAACTGCAAAACGGCTGCACAAGTGAATTCCTATTATGGCCTGCGCAGACAAGAAAATTTTCTATGGGTCACTCTGTCAGTCATTTTCTATTGGGCACTCATTCAACTAGTCCAATAAAACACTTGAACTAATTACAAGCACTTTAAATGTTATTTTTAAATGAAACTTGATTTCTTCTATCAATTTAATGCTCTATTAAGTCACATGCTCTCATTAATGTTATTGCAAAGAAAGTAAGAACATTTAAATCTAAGTTATTTATGAGTACGACCGATAAATAAAACGGTCGGTCTGTGATGGTGTTATTACTATCAAATTATCAGCCAGTTCGCAGTTTAACCACGGTCTGTCTACATACACTGTATGCTTAGGAGCCACAGAAAAGACGTAAGACCCAGACTGGGTGCGGACACGTGCAGTTTCATAGAAAATGAAGAAGCACCGTGACCGTGCACTAACGACTAAACAGCCACTAGAGGCATAACGTTATATATTAGTACTAAATGCATTCTGGCAACTGCCCAAGGCAAGACGAAGAAGAGGGACTGTGCTTTGTTGGGCTGATACAAGGTCACAATGTAAGTAAACGATATAATGACAGTACAGGCAGCCATTTGGTTTATTTTTACTTTGTTTGCACTCTGAATGCGTGTACTACAAAAGTACAGTTACAAAAGTTGTCGACACTGATTAAATATTTTCCTGCGGGATCATTTGTCTAGGGGCTGTGTTTTGCGACGCGACGCTTTTATACGTTTTATATGTTTTTGCCTATCATTAGGCGTCTAGGGCTGTGTAGTCGTGGCCGCGCACTGTCTTTTCTAGTTGTTTTGCGACGCGACGTTCTTATAAGTTTTTATGTAGTCTTTTCTGTCTTTGCCTATTATTAGGCGTCCAGGGGCTATGTAGTCGATGCCGCGTAGTGCCTTTCTATATGTTTTGCGACGCGACGTTTTTATACGTTTTGTAGAATGTCTTTTCTGTCTTCTCTGTGCGAGAAGGCGCGGTGTTTTCTGTCTGTTCCTCGGTTTATACGTCGACGTCGCTGCTGTCGTCGCTGTAGTCGTTGTCGTTGCCGTCCGCGTCTTCGGGCTCGTCCTCGGGCTCCGCGTCCTGCTCGCCCTCCAGAGTCTCGTCCTCCTCCTCTACGTTCTCGTCGAGAGACTCCAGAAGACTCGACAGCTTCGTGATCTCTCCTTTGGCCATTTCTGTAACGAGGACATGATATTAGGGTAATTCTCACTCACACCAACACTATCGTTTAGTTTTACATAAATAACTAAAAATACATACATGTTTATACTTATGACTTGATGCTTATTTTGACATGAAAATAATATCAATTATTTTAATAATATTAATGTTATAATATAAAATGACCATTCCCAGAATTGAGTTGTTAACTAAAATATCTGTTATAGTCTATTTTCTGTGTCAGCATTTATTGTCAAGACTATGGTCAGATATAAAACCGTATAACAATAGTAGATTTTCGAGGAATGTAAATGACAACATCAATCCATGCTATTTCTGTAAATGGCTATAGGAACATAGAACTATAAGAATAGAGTGAGGAAGGCGGCTTTAAAAGTGTCCGTCTAGTAGAAAGAGAAAGAAGATTAGAGACGACTAGCTATCTCTTACGACGCATGGCATGGCAGAGGTTATGAATGACACGGCGCAAAAATGTCACCGCCGTGGTTTTATGTGACATGACCATTATTTATGAAAAATATAGGCAAAACTTGTTAGTTATATTTAATGTGATATCAATCTCTAGGCAACACATTTGAGGCGACGTTATTAGAACAACCAAGTGTATGTCTTAGAAACAAAAAAATACGTAACAAACAGTTTATTTTATTTACATGTCCTTTCTACAATGTCGATATTACAACATTATGGTCATGATGATTGATGTTTATAAGCTAAAGCTTACACGGTTGTGGCATTAAGTATAACTTAGAAAGAAATTTAAGCGTGGAGAAATGCGAGAAAGCAACAGGTTCTGGGTATATTTTACATAAAACTATAAAAAAGAACAAAAACGAAGGCGCAGGTGGTTCGTGCGTTTGATCTGCAATCGTGGAATTTAATAACTTCCGCAATAGGGAAGATGCAAATATAATATTTATGAAAATTTTATGATTAAAATGTTAAAAAAATATAAAAGAAAGGCCACTGCAACGTTTTTATTTTACATAATGTTGTTTTTTTAATAATAATTACGAATTAAAAATGAATTGAAAAAAACATATTTTCAAACACCAATCAGCGTTTAGTGACGTCACTCCTGTTATGACAACTTATTTGAGGTTATGGTTGTAAAAGTGAATATTATTTTATAGGAATATTAATTGTGTTTTTTAATAAAAATGGAAGTTTTTTTTTTATTTTATGTTATAGGTGGCATACGAGCAGACGGCTCACCTGATGGTAAGTGATCACCGTCGCCCATGGACACTTGCAACACCAGGAGTATCACAAATGCGATGCCGGCCTTTAAGGAAGGAGTACGCTCTTTTTTTGAAGGTTTTTGGGTCGTATTAGTCCGGAAACACTGCTGGCGACAATATATTCCACAGTTTTGTCGTACGTGGTAAAAAATTTCGACGAAAACGCACGGTTGTGGATAGCCACGCATCAAGATGATGGGGATGAAATTTTTGTCGCGATGCACGTTATGTTATGTCGTTGGTCTAGGATGCATCAGCAGATGTTGGCACTCACCATTCCTCACTGGGCCCCCAAGGTGGGTCAAGGCCCATTCTCCCTATTTTATTCATAGAGCAGGCCTGTGAGGCCGCCGCACATTAATAAGACCAGTTATGCTTGACGTTACTCAAAATGAATATTTCGAAATGTCATTTCATGGACTGGGATTTCTATAGTCATTTACAGAAAGGAACACTGGTTGATGTTGGCACTAATAAATATCTTAGATTGATGTTGCCATCTTACATTCCTCGAAAACCTACTATTTTTATATGATTTTACCTACATCTGACCATAGTCTTTACAATAAATGCTGACACAGAAAATACACTAACAGATAATTTAGTAAACACCTCTAATTTTATGAATGGTCATGACAATTTATATTATAACATTAATATAGCCTAGAAATTAAGTACCTGAGCTTACTGTTATAAGTTTTGACAGCACAAGTCTAGACGTATATGAATTCTAATTAGAACTTCGTAAGAATGCTTAAAATGCAACATGCAGCATGACAGAAATAGCTCTTGTTCTGAGCAGACTTTCTGCACGAGTTCTGCGGTTACATACTTTGTGATACTATCTATAGTTAATTTTTTTGTTTACTGGTAGTATTTTAAATTCTTTTATATTAAAAGTAGCTACACTTACGTTTTACATAGTATTCCAAGGATTTTGGAGCCATTTGTATAGCTTGCTTTATATCCTCCTCTGAACATTCACCTTTATCTAAACCTGAAAATATGAATATGACGACATGAGATGCTGGTTTAAATAATCAGCTCAATTTACTATTTAGTACTTAGTCGAAAACTTTACCAAATAATAAGCCCATTCTCTTTAATATGTCTATGTCGTCGTGAATTTGGAACCTCTTATTGAAGTTAAACATATATTCTGTTCTGTAAAAACAAACAGAATTCGCATTATAATATCATAAAAAATATTGTTTAACGGTAAATAATAATGATTATTTTTACTGATAAAAAGTAGTAAGTACTCTAGAATTGGTACTTTGGCCAGGGTTGATCCATATTTATTCTATGATCTCATCCCAAACTAGTATTCCTTACTCGACCATCATTTTAATAAACATTCATCAAAAGAGTCTAAGCAACATGCATCATTTATGCAAACTGCAAGTTTTATTTTATATTATCATTATGACATTGTATAATTTATCGAAAGGTTTTTTGGCTCACAAACCATTTAAAAGCTCATAAATTACATGTTCGCACAACGCAATTGTTCCTTAAGGTTAAAGCTCATTAGAGCCACCCGGCATCGCATCGTCGTGCGACATTCACTCGTATTCAACGACTGAACTCAGGTGGACGCCTCGTTGTCAACCATCTAACGTGGGGGAGGCCACGGGTGGACGCCTCGTTGTCAACCAGCTGACGTCGGGTAGGCCACGGGTGGACGCCTCGTTGTTAACCAGCTAACGTCGAGTAGGCCATGGGTGGACGCCTCGTTTCACCTAGGTAACGTCGAGTAGACCACGGGTGAACGCCGCATTGTCAACCAGATAACGGCGAGAAAGGCCACGGGTGGACGCCGCGTTGTCACCAGATCACGTCGAGTAGGTCACGGGTGGAAGACTCCTTGAAACCCGGCATACAAACTACTCGGCCACGGAGGTCAACAAAGTGGATGTAGTGACTGTACATAGAAATCCATACAAATGATATCAATAGCACAAGTTGAGGCGGTGCTGGTGGGGTGCCGGGTGGGCTTAGAGTTTTGACCTGCACTCATCCCAAGGCAAATATTACCAAAAAAAATATGGATAGCAAAATAATGTAAAAGGTAAGAATTTTTAATTTAATGTTGATATAAATATATCATATTTTATATACGTACTTGTCATTAGAAATGCTACAGTCTATTAAAGCTTTATCACTAGTATTTACAACAATAAATGGGAGATGGATGGCTGACGATGGTGACGGCTTTTTTCCATCTCTTTCTGCTTTTTTATTCCTTTCTATCAAACTCTTAAATGATATATGCTGAAATAAAAATCATTAGTTAGAAATGTCACAAATATTTTAAACTATGCTCAGGTTTAAATACTTTTTAGGGTTGTTATTCAAATAGTAAGAATCTAGACTAAATTTAGGGTGCACTATTTTGAAAGTTGTGCAGTTATTGGATCATGGAACTCTAAAAATATCAGACTAGGTTTTTTAATCCATTTAAGTGTTTAATAAACGGATAACCTATACAGAATAATATTTATATATCAATAATGTAATCTACCTGTAAGATCAGTTCTTGTAACTGTTGTGTTTTCTTTTGGATTTGTTCCAACTTCTCCTGTTTTTCTTTTTCTAAAGTGGTGCACTCTTGGACTGAATTAGTGGGCAAACCAAGCCAACGTATTTCTTTCTTTTCTTTAGATATTATGTTCATAGCCATAAGAACATTTAGCGCGTCATATACTCTTCTCCTTATATTCTTTTGGTCATATTGCTGAAAAACCCATAAAAACATTCTGAATATTTTTTTATGTATTTCCTAACTCTGTGGCAAAATAAAAAAATATTTGTGTATTCATTAGTTATTTTTATGAACTGATAACACCTATGATATTAAGTTATAGATACGTCATACACGCTTCTAATTTGGCAATACGAAAGTTAGATAATTGCCCAACTCGCATTCACTGGGCATGCTCTCTCGCGGCGGATACACTTTGATAAAACGTGAAAATATTTTACCCTTTTGCCAGACAAAAAGCTCTATGTTGAGTATTTTTAGATAGTACACAAAATACACAGGAACTATTGCCAGAGTTCGCAAGTTTACGACTAATTTCTGCAGCGCTAGTGTTGTGTATTGAAGAGAAGGGGGATGGAATAGTTACTATTTTACTATAAAAGCGCTCACAGGCAAAAACTCTTAGATTTTCAAGCACTATTGTAGATAAGTTTAAATTGGATTAAATGTTAACATTCTTCAATTTCTCTAGCTCCAGTTGAGGCACTGCCTGTCTGTTTCCTCAAGGATGATAAGAAACTAATCCCCACCTAAATTCTCTTCTAAAATTGTGGTGGGCTTCATTTTACTCCCAAAACTCAACAAATAAAAATATTACAAGAGACAGGTAAACAAATAATGCAATACATACTTGACTGTCTGCAGATCCATGAATTCCAGTGGCAAATTCCAAAACTAATTCATCTGCTACTTCATTGTATGAAGTGAAACCTTTATTTCTTACTTTTTCACAAACTTTCATAGAAAAATGCCTTAAACCTTTACCAACTTTGTCAGCATGTTTGCGTTTCTTTGTTGTGCTGCAATGTAATGTTATAATTTATTATTCTTAGATCCTCACACACACAAAACAAATAATAAAAAACTTGACACCTCACAGGCTCATATGTACGAGTATGTGCACTTCAGCTAATTGTGATTTACCAATGAATGCAATAATTTCATAAGGCAGCATTAGAAATTATGTTTTGGAGTTAACTAAAGAGTTTGTGTGCTAGTCATCATCATCATTAGCCTATAAATGTCCCCATTGCTGGGGCACAGGCCTTCCCTATAGATAGAATAGGGAGAAGGGCCCAGTGTGGATGGTGGGTGCTAACGACTGCAGATACACCCAGGACCAACGGCTTAACATGCATTCCAAAGCATCAAGCTCCAAAAACAAAATTTTTTGTCTATCCAATAACCCACCAATGCGAAAGTTGTTTAACTTCAACGATCACAGTTTAACACAGTAAACACTCGCGTCATCGAACTCCTGTGTGCTAGTATTATTACTTTTGTTTAATATTAACACCAGAAACAATTAGTGATGGCAAGAAATCACTAGATTTCAAACAAGATCAAGATCACTGTGTAGCCATGTCTATAGGCTATACCTATCTACCTCATAACACATCATAACATCAACAAGAATATATCTCAACCTCAGGGAAAGAATTGCAGTTAAGGCTAGCCCATTTTAAAATAAAATCAGGAACATCATAAAGGTTTGCATCTATTTTATTTATTTATGGTACAGCAAAAGAGTACAAATTATAACTTACACATTTTTTATAGAGAATTATTGTATTACATAAACTTGCACCCCAATTGAGTAATTTTAGTAATAAGAATTGAGGCATAGTCTAAATATTACTTTGAACTACAATCTTTCACAGTTATAAATTTAATAAAAACTTACTATTCTGCAGGCTGGTCATTATCAGAATCATGTCTCCTTCTAGAGTTATGTGACATGGCAGTTGATATGTTAGACTTTTTATTACTATCACCAGTCACCAAAGATTCTTGTTTCACTGGTAATGGTACTAGTTCAGGTACTACTTCAACAAGTTGAAATTCATCAACAGACTGCTGCAAAACATACAATATAAGCATTAAATTATCTTAAGCTGGGCTAGATAGCAGAAGAATGTTATAAAACACTCAATAGATGGAAATATCAACAGAAATCAGATCTATTAGGTAAAACATGTCCTGAATGGGTGGTAGGAAAAAAACATTAGATGATGATGATGCAAATGATCTTTCAAAAAGTCAATTTGAACAAAGTAGGTATAATTTAATCTCATATTGTTAAATGGAAGAAATTCATGTAGAAAAAGGTACCCCTTAATCAGTATTTTATGCTCTTACCTGCTTTTCTTCTAAAGGCTCTGATTTTATAGTAACAGGTTTATTTATCTGTGTTAAAGTTTCAACTGGTATTTGCACAAGCTCTGAAACAACAGATTAAATTTAAACAATTTCTAGTTAATTTGGCTGGATTCTATTCTCATTATTCCAGGATCAGTTAAAATAAACCTATGCTATTTATTTCATATAATATTGCAATATTTTTGCAAAACCATTATTCATAGGAGTATCACAGTATAATTTGTGTCATTAAAGAAAGGAATTGTAAAGGATGACGTAATACATCCAGTCCTTCTCATACATGCTTGAGACAATGTCTTGCTTAGGCATTTTTGATTCCTTTCTTTTATGACATGAGTTATATTAGTACATTAAACATTAACACAAAAGTGTATTCTTTTAGGGGACAGAGTCAGTAGATACTTCAAAGAGTTCTATTAGTAGGAATTAATGATAACTATGCTAAGTTATCTCAACTGTCATTAACTAGAAATCAAAAAAGCAATGTTGATTCTTTAAGGCTAGGATTAACTTCATAATAGAAGGACTAGTTATTGTGACTAATATATCATTTCAATACTACAGAATTCTTGATTTAGCTTTTATAGACTACATAAGGAATTAGGGGAATGGGATAAATGTATTTAAGGAATGGTTAAGTATTGAATATACTTACTTGAAGAACATAGATCAGGTAACTTAATGGCACGAAATACAGATCTCTGCAAATAGAAAATAATGAATTGTGTTAAAAATGAGAAATTTCATCAATGTTTATTCAGTAGTTACTTCCTAGTATCTAATGTTAAGTCACAATAACATTCAGATTTACTGGGGAACTTAAGGGCCTGAGTAATTTTAATGCCCCTAAGGCATGCAAGTGAACTTAATGTTATATATAATATTCTACTGAAATATTAACTTAGCCCAGAAATATGTTCTTTCAGAACCGCATTCAAATCAATAAGGAAAACACACCTGATTGTTTGATTCCACCTTAGGTATCTTGATATATTTCACAGAATTTGGTGCAACTTTAATTTGGGCTAGTGGATGATTAATTTTGTTTGGAACTACTTTGACCATTTGAGGTTGTCCTAAAATAAATCACAGCAAATCAGTATATAATGTATAATAGGGCAGAGTTAGTAGTTCATACATGTAGGTCGTTTTTATGATAAAAAACAGCAAGTTATAAAGGAATAACAAAACGCCGGGAAAAGAAGTACAATGTAGACGCCCACATTTAAATTCAATTAGATTTGATATTATAAAGTCTTACGTACAATTCTAATAAAAGTCCTGTTTCATTAAGATTTGATATAAACTTATCGGTAATAAAATAAGAAAGCTAGTAACAAATGATTACTAACCATTAGCGTCATGAATAAGGAAATTTATTGTACTATTATTCTGGGACATATGCTCCATATTTCTTGCAATAGTGTATCCATTTAAATAATTCACTTTAGAAGGTTTTATGAATCTTATCGACGACCAAATGATATAAAATACTCAACTGAAATAAGTATGGTCAAAATGGCGACATATTTTTGAACTACGATTGAAGGTCAGACGCCGCCAAAATAAAAATATTTAATTAATACAACATTTAACATGAATATCGAGTATTTATACTGCAGTAATATTTACAGGAAGGTTATTCTATTAACGTTTTAACGGTATCAACAAGCACTGCACAGCGAAGGAAAAACGGCGCGACTCAACATTTACCAGCTGATTGGGTGACGCTGTTCACGTGGTACCTACCTACCTCTGGCTGGGAATATTTCCCGAAAAGGCGCGAAATACCTAATGCCATCTATGAAACACTTCTGAAAACTTTGAGTGATGGGAATTGTCTATGTTCATGACTTTGTTTTTTTTATTATTTATGGTTCTGTGGAAAGGCAAAGCAGTAGGTGCATACAGCCTCATATTCGACTTTATTATAATTTGAATATTTTTATTTTAAATTAACTAATATTTTTAAATTGATATATTGATATAATTATTGCTAAATAAATACTTTGACTTAGGCCCCAATAGGCGCGTTATTATCGATTGACAATATCGGATTCGTTATTACGATACCTGTTTTTAGGAAATAGTAAATTAGCACGGCTTAAAAGTTACACACTGCTGCCATAATAATGAATGACAGAATAGATGGACGTTTTATCGCAATAACAGCACGCTTGGTTGCTGCTGCAGGGCTTTGCCTTTCCCAACAGGTAAAAATAAATATAAGTAAACAAAAATCTATGGCAGGCATTGGTGTCGATTCAAGTATGATTCTCTAAACCTTAACTTAAATTTGACAGCAGTACGTCCTTGTCATTCGCTATACAGAAAGAAAAGGAGAGACTGAAGTTAAATTTAGGTTTAAGTTTAGAGATTCACGCCAGAATTGGTACCATTGTAGCATAAGCTTCCTCACTTTGAGGTTTTTGGCGGGATTTCATCGAGGGCGGTTGGCGTCTTATTTTAATTATTCTTAAATTCGTTCATAGTCGATATTGTGAAATAAAATTGGTGTGGTTTTGTGTAACAACCGTCTGCGTAACTAAATTTTTAGTTGAATCGTTAAAATATACGCTATTTTGGTCATGTGGACGTGAGAATTTTATTGTAGTGTTGACTACCTCACAGAAGCTTATCGAAAAAGCCAACTCGATACATTTCGTGCCAAACACTCCAAGAAACATTAGAATGCGTCACACCGACATTCTAATGTAAAAACAAAAAGAAGATTAATTTAATTAAAGACAAGGCTGTATGGGCATTGTTCCCTTTGCCTTCCCTAAAACGGGAGAAGTTCAACAAAAAAAAAATAACCTCACTGTTTTGTTTATTTATTTTTATTTTTGAAAAGTACTGAGGATCTGTAAATATGTGGATTTTATGGTTTTGCGTATTTTTTATTAATACGTGGAAAAGTAATACTCTGGGATTTGTAAACGATGTAAATTTACCAGTTGAACACATTCCATTTTATTTCAATAGTTTTAAAAGTGTAGCTGAAGAATGCGCAAAAACCCCTGAATGCCGTTATAAAAATTTTATCTCCAGGAAAGCTTGCTGGGGCTATGAAAATAATTGTAATAAATCACACTCATATCACATTAGACCTCGTTGTCCTGGTGATCACCGAGGTTGGGTTAAATCGAAAGAGGCACAATATTCTACATTCTATACACAAGCAGATTTCGGTATAGTATACTATCTTATATTCATCATTTTGGACTGAGGGCTTTAAAATTTGGGCTGGTTCTACATTTAAAAATTTTAAAACATTTAACTCAACCACCTGTCGAGTTAAATGTTTTAACAAATCAACAAATCTCAATGTCTATTATTTTGAGTCTAAACCACATATTTTGGAATTGTACTTTCCACATTAAAACAAATTTGTTTCGTTGTTTCATTCTATTTGCAATATTCTAATATTCTAAATTATTTTTATAGGGGGTCTCAAACATGAAAAGGAGATTTTTTTCTTTTTTTTTCGTTTTTATTCTTTATTTTCAATAACAACGAAATAGGGGGGCTGTAATTTTTTTAATATTAAGACCATTTTTTGTTAAGAGGACAGCCTTTATTATACCATGAGTAATAAAGAGTCTTTACACTCTTCATAGATCTCTATGACTAAAAAAGAGAGTGGTTGACATTGACTGTCTTATAAAAATATATTTAGGTCTTGTGTGTCTTTTATGTAAATACCAAATAAAACTATTATTTAATTATATTTCCAACTTTGTTTACGTTAATTGCCCATCAAATATAAAACTTAATATGGTAGCAGTGCGTTTACAGGAAAGAAAATGTTGATTGTAAAAATTTCTCCACTTGGAAAAGAAAATTATGACACATGGATAATTCATGCAAAAGCATATTTAATAAAAAACAAATTATGGAAATGTGTAACGAAGTATCCTGATGAGAATTCAGATACTGAAAAAGAAAATGATGAACTTGCGAAAGCTGAGTTACTGTTACTGATCTCATCAACTGAATTAAAAGAAGTGAAAGAAGTGCAAAAGATGTTTGGGAAAAACTCAAAGGTGTATATGCTAGTCAAGGGCCTGCCAGAAAAGCAACTCTATTAAAGAAATTGATATTGACTAGACTAGGCATTGTTGCAGATGTTCGTGAACACTTGACGGACTTCATGGATAGGGTAGATAACCTAAAAGACTTAGATATAGAAATCAAGAGTGACTTATTGTCCATAATGATGCTATATAGCCTCTCAAGCGAGTATGAGAATTTTAGAATTGCGATAGAATTGCAAGACTCATTAATCGGTCCAGAAAAGTTGAAAAATTAAAATAATTGAAGAAAGTGATGCTCGCAATAGAAACATCCAACCTAATACAAGTCCAAGTAATGTTGAAGAAACATTTTATGCATTCTGCAAAATATGTAAGAAAAAGGGACATGAACAAGAAAAATGTTGGTTTAAAAATAAAAACAAAAAGAACAAGAAAAATTCAAACTATAGATAAAATAGTTTAAATCAAAAGGAAAAGAATAACTTTACATGTTTTTCTTTAAATCAACAAGAAATGAACAACGGTTGGATATTGGATAGCGGATGCACGTCTCACATGACATTTTCAGATAAACCATTTACAAATATGAGAAATGTGAACCAAACATTAAAATTAGCGTCAAAAGAGCACATGGATGATATCAAAGGGTCAGGTCCGGCCCAAATAGAGACTAAGCAAGGACTAATAGGCATAGCAAATGCTCTTTATGTACCAAGTCTATGTACTAACCTTCTATCAGGCGGAAAGCTAACTGACGCTGGACATACTGTAACATACTAAAGAACAAGCAATCGTAAAGGATAAAAAGCGCAATGTTGAAATAATCGTTAAAAGATCTAACGATAGCTTATATTATCTACGTACCAAAAATAGTAATACTGATCATCGGCAAAAAGCTAATGTTACTCAGACAAAAGAAAACAAATCTGATGATATACAATTATGGCATAGAAAATTAGGACATATGTCAGAGAAGAACATGAAGCATGCTTTGAGTAATAATTTACTGATTGGGTTGAATTTTGACGATAAAAACAAATTGGACGATTGTGAAACTTGTATTCAAGGAAAAACAAGTAGAATACCTAGCAAGTCTAGCGCAATTACCCGTACCAATCAGCGACTCGAAATTGTACACAGCGACATATGTGGACCCATGCCAACCGCTTCATTAAATGGAAATAAATACATGGTTACATTCATTGATGATTTTTCAAGATACTGTTATATATATTTTATACAACACAAACTTGAAAAGTTTAAGGAATATAAGAAATTTGTTGAAAATTTTACTGGAAATAAAATAAAATTCCTACAAAGTGACAATGGCACAGATTATTGTAACCGAGCCTTTAACGTATTCCTGAATATCAAGAAAATTGACAGCACCATACACCCCTCATTAAAACGGCATTGCCGAAAGAAAAAATAGAACCTTGATTGAAAAGGCAAGATGTATGATGTTAGAGTCGAAAGCACCATTACATCTCTGGGCAGAAGCTGTTCACACAGCCAATTACTTATCAAACAGGAGCGTTAATCAAAGTATTGGACAAGTAACACCATTTGAATTGTGGGTAGGAAGAAAACCCTGCATAAACCATTCACATATATTTGGTGAAAAAAGCTTCATCTTAATAAAAGAAAAAGGTCGTCAAAAATTTGCTTCAAAAGCCATCCCTGGAATGTTCGTGGGATATTCAGAAGTATCCAAAGCTTTTAGAATTTATGTACCATCCAAAAGACGAATTTTAATTTCCAGAGATGTACGGGTTTTAAGAAAAATATTCTATGACAATGACAAAGGATCTTACAGAAGTAATCCTTTCCCCGAAATAGGCTAGTTGACCCTTTTTGGAAAAAGGTTTTAAATGGTTAATAAATGTTCTATTAGACCGAAAAAAAATGAATTGTATTTTTTTGCGACCTAGAAAATTACAAATCTTTAATTTTTAAATAGACTTTTCATGGACATACAAAAACGCTGTCGGCCATTTTAATCTATAGATTATCTATGCTATGACATTGACGGTAGTAAACAAAAACTCGTAAGTACGTAGAAAATACCCTATCTGAGATTATAATAAAAAGAAAACATGATTTCTAATAGATACCACGAAAAATATAGTAATTACACTGGAAAACAGCATGTCTGTTGCATGGGATTTTTTACATGAATCTGAATAGTTTTTCCACGCTGATTTCAAAAATATATGTCGTTTTTATGTAGCAGCTCTAGTTTTGGAGTTACCAAGTAACAGGATTTTCCATTGAAAATGCACATAGTTAAAGTTTAAAAAAAACATTAAATATATTTATTCTCAATAAAATTTACTTTTTTTGGATTTTCTAGAGTGAGGTGTATTATGAGTACTCTTTTGAATGCTCCAACAATAATCAGCCATCATATGTTCATTCCAATACCCTGGTACCTCTCCTCCATAGTGCGAATATCCTGGTGAAATCGCTCTCCTTGTTCCTCGCTTAGGTCACCGAGATTTTCAGGAAAGTAGTCTAGATGGTTGTGAAGGTAGTGAAGCTTAATACTCATGTTGCATTCAAGACGCTGGAAGTGTATCAGCACCGTTCAACGTGCTGAATGTAGCCGTCAGATTTCCTATTGCCCAAAAAAAATCTCGCTACCCAAACAAACTCTTCCCATGCACATTTCTCGACAGCTGTCATATGGTTGATGAAATTTTTATCGTCGATCATCTTGATTTTGTCGAGAACTAAAGATATTGTAGGATATTCTTCTTTAACCTTTGTAGAATGAGCAATAGGTAAGGAACCAAGTTTGTTACCATTATGTAAAAGTACACATTTCAAACTTCGTTTTGACGAATCAATAAACAACCGCCACTGATTTGGATTATACTCTTTTAATCCCATTGCAGTCATTAGGCCCGGAATATCAGTACAAAACACAAAATTATCTTTTTTAGTAAAGAAAGGAAGTAAATCCTTTTCCCTGTTACGGTAGTACGATATCTTCGTTTCTCTGGTCAACAAATTTCTTTCTTTCAATCGGGAAGCTAATATTTCTGATGCTGTTTTAGACAGTCCAAGGTCCCTGATCAAGTCATTTAGATCATCTTGATTTAGTGGACGGGGACTACCATAGCAAAATCACTGTCACTACTACTGCTGTTTTTTTCGGTTTGTCCGCTGCACTGGTCTGGATTTTCTGAAGATGTACATGGCTGCTGTGGTGTTGATGTGTCACTAATACTCAAGACTTGGTCTTATGGCAGATTTTAAGTTTGGATATATCTACTTAGAGCAATTTTTATGGTTTATTCCTATGATTTTCGTTACACAGAAAAAACAGTCGTCATGATGGTTGGATGGTTCACGCCAAATCATAGGAGCTTTGTACTAAAAGGTGGGTCTTTTTTTGTTTGCCCACAGTCGCAAAGATTCAACACAACTTTTACATACCAAACTTGGTATCCAAGGTTTAGCGTTTGACGGCTACGGAAACCCAAAGTAGTCGAAGTATGCCTTTTTCACAAAGTCCGACACATTTAAACGAAATTTTTTGAACATATATTCTCCACAAATAACACAAAAACAATCATGATTATTTAAACACGTCCTTCTTGAGGAAGACATAATGAAATTTATAAAGGAACTAGTTAAGTTACACCGCTATTGATAGAAACTATCGACTACTTATGTAAATTTAAGACGGTACCTGTATCTCAATAACAAGAGCTGCTATAAAAAATCTGAGAGTAGATTTGAAATCAGCGCACCCAAATTAGTAAACAACAGTAGAAAAACTTCATGCAACAAAAAAAAAGTATGATTTTGTTTTTCTGTGTTATCAATAATGATAATAATGTAAAAACACATCCTTGAAGACTCCAGGAAAGTTGTAGATTAAAGTGCCGAAAGAAATTAACCTACGCAATACCTGGTTAGAACTTGCTACGCGTACAGGTCGCGTATTGTCCCACCAAAAAGATTTGAGGACTACGTTTTAACTGCTATAAATGAGGATGCTATGGAAGAACCTCAGACATTCAGAGATGCTATGAAAAGCAAAGAATATTGCAGTTGGAAACAAGCTACGCAGAGTGAAATGAACTTGCTAAATGAAATGAATACTTGGGATGTCGTCGACTTACCTAAGAATAGAAAAGCACTACCCTGCAAATGGGTTTATAAAATAAAAAGATGCCCAGATGGTACAATCGAACGACATAAGGCGAGACTAGTTGTCAAAGGATTTTCACAAAAACCTGGCATTGACTACGATAAGACTTTTAGTCCAGTAGTCCGGATGAGCACAATTAGAAGATTGCTGCACAACAAAATTTAAAATTACAGCAATTTGACGTGTCTACAGCCTTTCTCAATGGAACAGTCAAAGAGGAAATCTACATGAACCAACCTGAAGGCTTCAATGATGGCACGAGAGAGTTTGCAAGCTGAAAAGAAGTCTTTATGGCCTAAAACAAGTGCCTTTGTGCTGGAACACCTGTATATCGCAGTATCTGGTGGAATCTGGATTTAAACAATGCACTAATGCCTTTATATACGAAACCAAGTACTAATTGCACTCTACGTTGACGATGGATTAGTAGCGTCAAGTAGTGAAGCGGCAGGCGTTAATTTCATAAAGAAATTAAAGCAGCGGTTCAAAATCACAACAAAACCAGCCACCTATTTTCTTGGTCTCGAAATTGGTAAATCTGAAGATGGTGATATAACTGTACACCAAAGGTCTTACACCAAGAAAATATTAGAAAGGTTTGGCATGATTGACAGCAAAAGCGTTCCATCTCCTGCTGTAAAAACCTTGAAGGAGGATGATAACAAAGGAGCCAACATAAACTTTCCTTATCGCCAAGCGGTAGGTGCACTGGCATATCTAATGGTCGCCACAAGACCTGACATCAACTATGCAGTGAGTATGGCTTCAAGACATCTTGAAAATCCAACGCTGATGGATATTTTAAAAGTAAAAAGAATACTAAGATATTTAAAGGGAATTATGGACACCGGACTAGTCTTTAGAAATGAAAAAGACAGAAAGTTAATCTGCTACAGCGATGCAGATCACGGTGGAGACTCTGTTACTGGACACTCTACTACAGGCATGGTGTTCTTGTTTTCTGGACCAATTTTCTGGAAGAGTCAGAAGCAATCTTCTGTAGCCATATCTTCTACAGAAGCTGAGCTTATAGCGCTCTCCGAAACTGCCCGGGAAACTATATGGCTACAAGGACTCTTAGAAGAACTGACAGAAGTCGAAAAGCCTGTCATTTAAGTAGATAATGAATCATAAAATTATCAGAAAATCCTCCCTGCGAATATCATAAAAGAACAAAACATAAAGCTCAAGCATTTTTTCATAAGAGAATGTGTCACCAAGGGTGAACTATCTGTGAAATAAGTTTCCTCGGAAAAGCAACTCGCCGATATGTTCACAAAACCTCTCTTTGGACCAAGACTGCGAGATCTAAGTAAAAGAATTGGACTCCAAGGTTTGAACTGTATCAGTCCCTAAGAGTCCTGGGGATGTTAAGAGGACATCCTTTATTATACCATGAGTAATAAAGAGTCTTTACACTCTTCATAGATCTCTATGACTAAAAAAGAGAGTGGTTGACATTGTTAACTGTCTTGTAAAAATATATTTAGGTCTTGTGTGTCTTTTATGTAAATACCAAATAAAACTATTATTTAATTATATTTCCAACTTTGTTTACGTTAATTGCCCATCAAATATAAAACTTAATATTTTTGTTACAAGGTTTATATCAAAATTGAAAGTAGTTAACAATGGGACATTTTGGTTTATGATGACCCATATCCATATCAATTTTCTTTCGTTTAGATTATCTTCCTTTAAGCATACACCTTTGACTTTGCCTCTTTTAAAATTAAATACAGTGCATCCACAAAATTGAGTAAGATATTTAAAAATATATATTTTTATTTACTTTCAGGTTATGTCAAAGAACAAATAGATGAATTAATGGTTTTATGTGAAGCTTTATATCCCCATGATAGCTCTCTTGAATGCTCTAAATATTTAAGGTAAAAGTAATTTGTGTTATATATACCTAGTCAGGTCATAATTTCTGTCACATGTTTAATATAAGATAATTGAAACAAGTTTATTCATTATGTAACCATTTATATACCAAAATGAACTTAACAAAACATAGATTCTTATGACAATAAAGTTTATTCAAAATGACCTCCGTGATTTTGAATCTGCGCGGCCAGTCGTCTATTGCAGCACGAACGAGGTCCCTGTCAATATCGGCGGCTGCCTTAATCAAGGATGTCTTGAGTGACTCCAAATTGGGATGAGGCTTTGAGCACGCCTTTTCCTCCAAGTGTTGCTATATCTTGTAATCTAACGGACTCAAATCTGGACTGGAGGAGGGTCAGTCTTCGTGCTGGATGAAGTCGATTTCACGCGCCGAAAGCCAGTTTTGTGTGCTCTTCGCTCTATGAGCTGGCGCCGAATCTTGTTGGAATACCCAGTGCCTGTTATTGAACATGGTATGAGAAACAGGTTCCACAAGGTTCGTCAGGACTGTATTTTGTTACACAACTGCATTCGTTTTTACACCTTTCTCACAAAAATGTACCTCTGTTAAGCCCCAACAAGAAACTCCCAATCATACCATGAGCGAGGATGGAAAATGACCTCGTTGGACACGCGGAATACGGTTACTCGCTTCTTCACTACTGTGTGCGTACACCTTATCATTTTGTTTGTTGTAGCTCTCTTCAACGGTAAAAATTTTTTCATCCGAATAAAGAATTTCCCGATATTGTTTTCCTGCGTACCGCTGCAACAAAGCGCGGCATCTCTTTAGTCTCAGGTCCATTAGACGAGCATTCAAACGATGTCCTTTTTTTCTTTGATATGCCCGAAGCCCTAAGTCTTCATTTAATACCCTATTCACCGTGGTTCTGCTTAACCCCATCTGAAGGGCCAACAGTTTCTGCTTACGTTTGGGATTTCTTTGAATTTGCACTTTCACAGCTTTTATCACTGCTGGAGTCCTATCAGACCGAGGGCAACCACTTCTTGACCTGTCATCTACACTAGAGTCTTCATTGTATCGTTTGATGGTACGATAAACGAACTTTTGGTTATATTAAAATTTTTCAGTATGTCAAAAATTTGAATTGGCGCGTAACCGCAACGATGCAATGCAATAACTACAACACGGTTTTCTTTAAGCGTCCACTCCATATTTAAAAATGAGTAAAATTCTAAAAAGTATACATTTTTATTTTCATGAACAATTCGAAATTCGAATTCAATAAACTTTTTTGTGGCCAACATTCTTAGGTTGCTTTCCAATTACAGCATTATAGCGCATTATGCGGCATAATGCTTAACGTTGAGTGTTCCAACTACAGCAACGCTTCGCACAATTGAGCACTCTCAAAAGTGATGCTTTCGTGTGATGCGTGCAATCGTACCAACTTAGAGACAGAAAATTAACAAGTGTTTTTTCTTTAAGTTGGCATTGATCGAAATGTTTTATTTATATGTTATCGTTAGTAATATTATTTATTGTTGAAAAATTATTAAAGCTTTCGTTTCATTAAATAGTCTTTTTTTAAATAATCAAAGTTCATTCAAACTGTTAAAAAATAAATATAAGTATGGATGAAGGTACAAACATTGACTTTTTTTTTTCAACACTGAACTTAGCGCACTCTGCTGGTGCATTTGAAAACTAGTTCACGTTCCAATTAAGCATCAGCATAATTCAGCATTGTGGGGCACTGAGTCGCATTATACTCTGTAATTGGAAAGCAACCTGATAGAAGAGTTTTTACTGTGTGACAACACTTATGACCTGACTGTGTATAATAAATTCACATTTTAACTGTTCATAGAATTATAGATACATTTCATTACTGAATCTAATATGTCATAAGAGAAAGCTTATACTTAATAAAAAAAAAATGGTTGCCTGTAAAGTCGGTTTTACGGGCGAAGATTTTACGTGACAACGTCTTTTTCTCGGTAGAATATTTATTGATATGAATATAATTAAATTGCACAATAGGAACAAGGAATTGAATGAAAATAAGAATTGCACAAATTTTAACTATAGAAATATATTTTGTTTACTAAAACATTGTACATGTAAACTTAAACTTAACACGAGAGACTCATCGTAACGTTACCGAGCGTTACACTTTTTCATAAGTGACTCCCAGCCGCAACCTAATTTAAGACGTTGTCACGTCAAAAAAATCTACAACCATTTTTACTAAATTGTTGTTATTGTAATTTTCAGGTTTTGTCGAGGACGTAACCTCATGTTGAATTTCACAGGACTAATAGGCCGAGGAAATAATTTACGCTATAAAATGGATATACTAGGTCCTGGTCAAATAGGTTTGTATATAATTTGATTTTCTCATTCTTAACTTTACAATCTATTGTTTTTGTGTTCTGCCTCACATAATTCGTAAATGATAACTTCTTTATATTATAAAGAACTAAAGTTTGTTATAAAAAAATCGTTCACCAGTGGAAATCTACATTATTATTGTATGCAATAAGTTCTATATTATATAGGTTCAAATTTATTTTAGCTGTGCAAAGCCACGATTTAAAAAAACTAAGTGAAGCTGTACAGTGTGGTGTACTCCTCCATTCCTTTCACGCTGTTTGAGGTTGAGTTCTGCAATAAAAGCAGGCTTCACTCGAGCACTCCTATAAGCACTGTCCACCATTATCTTGAAAAAGCATGACCAACAGTGTTGGTTTTTGATGGAGACACCAATACTTTCTCTGCTGACAAAGACCATTTCAACTATTCTGGGTTCATGCTTGAAAAGTTCTTGAAATCGAAAGCTGGTGTATACCTTTATGCTGGGCGGATGTTGGTTGCCGACGTTGAAATGGCCTGAAAGACCACTTCTTCTCCATGTTAGCGGTCACGTCGTCGACGATGGCGGTTTGGCTAGAATGTATGTGTGCCTCTAAATTGTCTGATTCTATGAACAAGTGTGCCAAGGTGCCGCAGAGCAAACCTTCACAACCATTGGTGATCAAACATCAGATCTGGCAGATTGGGACGGTATGTGCGACTACTTTGCCTCCGTCCCATGGAATGGATAAGTACCTATTGGCCAGTGCCGTTGCTATTCCTTGAGATCTTAATGGGAATGATACACTACATTCCACATTTTGTTCTTATTAGTGAGGCCAAACATAATGGCTGGTTCAATGGTGACTGCTCACGTTGTTTCGCATAAGCAGGCAGCATATCGCGCTTGGATCAGAGGTCTTGATAGCGCATCAATCTACATTAGTATTTCCTGCAAGAAGGCTTACATTTGAGCGGATAGGCACCCAGCGAGTTGCATGTACTGGCTACGAATTGTTAACACATTCTACGAGCTCCCATAGTTATTGATGTTTGGCTAAAGCAAAAGTGCACAATATTTTTCCAGCCCTTCGCTGCCATCTCCAGCCTGCCTGAGATGTCCAGATGTATCACCAGCTCATAAGCCGCAGGAGAGAGAAAGTCGATTTAATGGTTAAGCTCTCCGACTAACTCCCGAATCGACGATTGCAGTGCACTGCCACCAATATTACCTCATTGCATTGCCACTATGATGACTGATTTTAAAATCAGGCAGCATGATGTTCATACAGAATTACAATCAATTGGCTGATGTGCAATCGGTGCCCAAAAGTAGGACCGCTTGTGGCCTCACCGGAAAAATCATCGAAAACAATTCATCGAATTACAATTCTTCGAACACAATTCATCGAAAAAATAATTCGTCGAACAACAATTCTTTGAACGGTAATTCCCCGAAAAACAATTTCATGCTTTTTATATTTCATATTATTAGTGACAGAACCGAAGTGGGGCGGGGGGCGCAGCCCCCGCAAGGGGGGCTCGGGGGGCGAAGTCCCCCGCAATGAATAAAGTCTAAAGAGTTCATTAGGTTAGGTTAGTATGATGACCAAAAACGCGCGAGCCGAGCGAGCGGAGCGAGCGTGCCGCGGCAGCGGCCGGCGAAGCGCCAGAAACGACACTTTTGTACGTGCAACGTTTTTTTTTCATACTTTTTCCCCTTTCCCCACCTCGTTTTAGCCTCCCTCCTGCTAAATTTTCATTTTTTTATGGAATTACCGTTCGAAGAACTGTTTTTCGACAAATTGTTTTTTCGATGAATTGTGTTCGAAGAATTGTAATTTCGACGAATTGTTTTTTCGATGAATTGTGTTCGAAGAATTGTAATTCGATGAATTGTTTTCGATCAATTTTCCGCAAATCAAGATCCAAACAACTTTCCGCCGATAGTTTGTCTCCTCAGTATTGTGTAGTTGTAGTTGTAGGTAATTATTTAGTTGGTCTCAGCTTCACCCTTCTTAGAGTAGCTCCTATTCAAAAGACAGACGATTGGATGCGACCAAAAGTCATGGCCGTTTGTTGTTTTTTTAGCTGCTTATACGTTCGACGTGTGAAAAGGGCTCAGTTATGGTGGGAGTACTTCAGAAGGTGCAAGGTTGCCCTCCTTATGTTATTCTGTCGTGCTCGAGTAAAACCAAAAATTCCCGATTCGGCTCCCCTTCTATAACCTTCGTCTTCATTTTCAATGATGATTCACTGATTAGATTTTTTCTGTAGCTTGTTGTACTACATACGTTAGACGGCCTGTGCGATGACAGATTTGCTAGAGAGCGTTTATTATAATGAACTATATTTACAAACACATATTATTGGGAATTAAATTTAGTAATCTATATCCGTAAACAAAATGTTGCATTAATAATTTATTCCTGTGGTTAATCAGAATCAGAATCAGTTAATACTGTTTGATAATAATTTTATAAATTAATTTGGTATTCCTGTAGGTGGCCATTGCAATTATTATTCTGAGAGATTAATCAAGGAAGCAGAACATATGAGCGCCTTACAATCGTGGGCACCAGAATTAGTTAATTTTGTTAGAACTGCAAAAATACCAATAGCAGATAAAATGTGTGATGTAGTAGTAGATAAACCCACATATATCATGAAACTTGATGCAAGTAAGTATAATATAATAAACGACCTTTCTAAAGACATATATTTTTTTACTTAACCCTGTGTTTTTCTTTTTACAGCTGTGAATATGTATCATCATTTCTGTGATTTTTTCAATTTGTATGTATCTCTTCATGTGAACTCCACACATCCTTCTACATTTTCAAGGGACAACCAAATATTAGTGTGGGAAACATTTACATATGATTCCGTTTTTAAAGATGCTTTTAAAGCGTTCACAGTGAATCCTATATGGGATTTGAAAACATTAAGGGGAAGAGTTGTATGTTTTAAGAATGTAGTTTTTCCTCTTTTACCTAGAATGATCTTCGGTCTTTATTATAATACGCCTTTGGTAAGTTAATAAAATTACATTTTTTTATTTATAAAGACGATAATTGATTAAACCATTAACAATTGACTTTCATTCTTTCTAGATATACGGGTGCGAGAGAAGTGGCTTGTTCCACGCATTCTCGAAACACATTCTTCATTCCTTGAATGTAAAGTTACAATTACGTGAAAATGATAAAATACGAGTTACATTGCTTTCTAGAGGAACGACTTATAGATCTATATTGAATGAAAAAGAACTCGTTAGTGCATTGCTCAAAAATAAAGAATACTACGTTCAGAGAGTGGTATATGATAGAAACATGCCATTTACTAAGCAATTGGAGATAACACACAATACAGATATATTGATTGGTATTCATGGTGCAGGCTTAACTCATCTTCTGTTCCTTCCTGATTGGGCAGCAGTGTTTGAGATGTAAGTATTTTTCAAATATAGGGTACTGATTTCTTGCATATCTTAGGGTCTGAGATAAATCATCAATAAACAACAACGCCCTTATTAATAAACGAAGAATAAGCTTGGATTAGTAACTCCATGTTTTGTCTCTGTTCAATGAATGACATGGCATTTAAGTGATATGAACAAAACACGGCGTAACTTGTCTAGGCTTGTTCCTCGTTTATTAATAAGGGGGTAAATATTGTGATGAGCTCTGTGGGGCTATGTTATGTCATGTATCTTGCAGTGGCGTAGCGTGCCTTGGCGGGGCCCCGTATAAAAAAATGTTTGGGGGCCTTTAGGAAGGGTAAAGATTGCTAACAAAAGAAAAAAATGTTTGCATAAAATTAAAAGAAATATTTTTTCATCATCATTATCTGTCACATTTTCCAATTTTTTTACAAACAATTCAAATTAAATATACACTCCCCTTGCCTTTTTTCGGCAAACAGATTTATGAAATCATTTATAGCTGATGATGACTTTATTTTTCTAAAGTTTCTGCCTCTACGAATTGTCCGTGATTGACTCCGTGGTTTATCATCGTATCGCATGTAGGTACCTACATCGATTATTGTGGGATTCCCCCGTTCAAGTAAATGACTTAAACGGGGAAATTTCGCAGCCCGCGATAACCGATTAAGGGTGTTGCTATCGCACGCTTAACGCGGGGGAAAAAGATGATTTTTTTGACTTTTGTCATTTGTGAAAAAAAATGTGAAGTTTTTATTAATTTATGCTTACGCCCGTTCGTTGGAGGCCTCGTATAATTGATACGGTAGATACGGTGATAGCTACGCCACTGCTGTCTTGTCTACAATATTGTCACAGAAAGAATGCGTTCGTGTCAATAGTATTTTTCTGTGTAAAAAGTATCTATGTCGCAATTCAGATAAAACACTGTGACGAATATCATTTAAACCCGCAAGGCATTTTTCGTGACTGAATAATAAATATACACCCTTTCTTATTTATAAAATAACTTAATTCATAGAATAGTTAGCCCTGGACACATTTTTATTTAACGCGACGCTCGTGGCTGCATATATTTGGTTATAGTGTACCTAGTGTAATATTTATTTAATTTACGTGTGTTATATAAATAAATAATTGTAACGACATCTTTACACTGGCGTCCAACATGGGATTCGAACCCATGACACTGAGATTAAGAGTCTCATGCTAAGGCGCTATGTTTTTTGTCTACAATGTTGTTATAGAAAGAATGCGTTCGTGCCAATAGTATTTTTCTGAGTTAAAAGTATTTGTGTCTCATTCCATGTAAAAAATTATCTATGTGGCAAATATCATTCAAGCCCATTCAGCCAATTTTCGTGACTAAGTAATAAACACACACCCCTTCCCATTTATACAGTTAATCAGTAAATTATGGAATTGTTATCCGTCGACACATTTTTATTTTATAATTAGGCTAACATATTTTATATTAGATAAATAATTTGGTTGGTTGTTATTAATTTTTAAAAGCTTTATATATACAGTGGTGGTTGTATAATTAGAAACACTTATAAATAGGACAACAATAAGTTTAACGATTACGATTATTGGATACAAAGATTTATTAGAAAAACAATATAAATCCCATTACACAAGTGCAGTTTCAATATTACATAACGGACAAACATTTAAATCAGATTTAACAATAATGGTCAACTAATTAGAAACAACAACAAAAAGGATAAAAAACATTTTTTTTTAAGTATTAGTAATTAGTATTGTTATTTACGAAATAGCTACTATCCACAGCGTACCAATAGTTATAATTAATATTTATTGGCGTATCCCTTATCTATATATATAAAAGTCAAAGGTGACTGACTGACATAGTGATCTATCAACGCACAGCCTAAACCACTGGACGGATCGGGCTGAAATTTGTCATGTAGGTAGATGTTATGACTTAGGCATCCGCTAAGAAAGGATTTTGATCAATGTCGAATTAGCTTCGGTAAGAGGTTTTAATTAACCCCTCGGCTGTTTTGTGAAGATTTTATTCTCATTTATTGTACTATAATCCGAGAAGCGTAACCTATTTTTATCTTTTTTGTTTCTATCAGTTTTGGCGATATAGTTCCAAATCCTAATTATTCATTTAGTGAATTTATAAAAACAAACTTTACAATTACAAATATCAGGTACTATTTCGTGTTTGGTTATTTTAAGAAATATGATTAGCTTATAAAAAGTTGGAAATAAAAACATTTCTAACTAATATTAAAAACTGCTTCATAGAAACAAAACCACATAAAACAAAGGAACAAATAGTACATTAAAGTCTAAAGTACCTACATTTAAAGTGAAAATAACATTTGGATTGCAATTGGTGATTGGAATGCATATCACTGACACCATACCTATTATCTTGTTAATTATTTGACTATGTATTTATAAATATATAAAACTCAAAGGTGACTGACTGACATAGTGATCTATCATCGCACAGCCCAAACCACTGGACGGATCGGGCTGAAATTTGGTATGCAGGTAGATGTTATGACATAGGCATTCGCTAAGAAAGGACTTTGATCAATTCTACCCCCAAGGGGATAAAATAGGGAATGAAAATTTGCATGAAACTTTGTCAATTTTAAACCGATCGGGCCGAAACTTTGCATGCAGGTATAAGAAGAATCATAGATGAATGTCATTGTGTATAATACAAGCCTAAGAACAAAAACTGTAGTCTACACTTCAGCTCTACACCGAAGCGAAGCGAGGGCGGGCCGCTAGATTTCAATAAGAGCACTGCAACGACGTGGCATTTATTCAATTTCATACATTTTTCTAGTACGTTTTGACTGGTGTTGTATTGAGGAGCTCGATGGCGCGGGCGGTTAGCGCGTTCGGCAGCGATCGTTGAAGTTAAGCAACTTTCGCAGTGGTCGCTCATTGGATGGGTGACGAAAAATCTTCTATCTCGAGTTCCTCCGTGCTTCGGAAGGCACGTTAAGCAGTTGGTCCCGGCTGCATATGCAGTCGTTAGCACCCGCCAATCCGCACTGGGCCCGCGTGGTGGTACATGGCCCAATCTCCCTATTCCATCCATAGGGAAGTCTTGTGCCCCAGCAGTGGGGACATTAAAAGGCTGATGATGACTGGTGTTACGTTTGTTCGAGACTTTTAACAATATACTAGAGATTTTATATCCGATTTATATCCGGACTATTTGCTAACGGATAAAATAACGGATATACGCTGTTCGCTCAGGAAACATTTAACGCTATTGGCCGTGTGTAGGGTCATTGTCATGCTGAAAGATCCAGGTTACAGGCAAATGATCCTCCGAGTAGGGAATCATTGTGTGCTCTAAGATATTTTTGTATTGCCATTGATCCATTGTACCTTCAATCTTCCGAACGGGTTTGGACCCGTGGAGTTGGCTCCATATCCGTAAAAACACACCCAAACTTTAATGTTACTGCCACCGTGCTTGACTATATTCCTTGTGTATTTATAATTCAATCTCTCCTCTTCAATTACGCCGTGACGTGGCGTCACTAAGCGCGTTCTATCGTCTGTACCACGGCGAGTGTTCTGAGGAGTTATTCTCTCTTATTTCACCTTCCCCTTTCCTTCAGAGGACCGCTCACGTGTTCCCTCCCTCTTACAACCTGGGATCCTTTAAAAGAGGCGTGAAGAAGCAACATGCAGGCCGGCAGGGTGAGGATGGCTGGTTTGGCAGTTAGAACTGCTGTATCAGCTATCTTCGCGTCTGGACTTCACCTCCACTTAACATCACGTGGGGTGGAGTCATTTCTCGTACCTATCTATAAAAAAAAAAAAGAAATTAAAAGCATTGTTTACAGGACGTCTAACATAGCGCTTTCTATTGGAATTTACCATATTTATTTTTGTTTCATCTGAAAAGAACACTTTTTCCATTCTCATACCGTCCAATTAACATATTTTTTAGCGAATAATAATCGCTTCTCTCGGTGTTGCTTGGTAAGAAGCGGTACCTTTCGAGCGATTCTTCCAAACCATTAAGCTTTCACTAATCTTCGGCGTATCAGTTTTGCTGAGATGTTTCTCGGGTCATAAGGCGAAAAAACTTCAATTTTAAGTTTTCTTCTCTGGGAGAGGTTTTTCTTGGCCGAGCCTTTCTAAGAACATTTTCAACAGTTCCATGTGTTTTATAATGATCAATTGCATTAAAATTTTTCTTAATAGAACAATTGAAATGCTCAGCTATTCTTCTGTACGCCCACTTATGATCTACATGTTAACATGTTAATTAACAATTATTTGCCTAGTTGACGCGTAATAACTTTTATTTTTACCCATTTTGAACAAAATAAAATTCAGATTAAATTTTGAATCGCCGCGAAAATAATTAAAAAAATCAAAAAATAAATGTTATTCTCCAATAAAAAAAAAGAACGATCTATGGATGCTTTTTTTTAATGTTTCTAATTAGGCGTCCAAGCGGCCAGTAACAGAAATTAAACTCCTATATGTGTAACACTTATTTTGTAATTAAAAGTAACATATGTTTTATATTTTATGCATTTAATGAGTTTTTTTTATATGAGTTACTATATTATTGCATGATTATTAATTATGTAATGTGTATATTTTTTACGAACATTTGTACGTTGAAGTTATACTTTCTTTATTCATAAGAAGTGTTTCTAATTATATGACCACCACTGTATATGACCCACCACACATGGGTTTCTTAAAGATTTTTTCTAATACTGTTTTAGTTACAACTGCGAAGATCCCAATTGTTACTTCGATTTGGCGAGATTGCGAGGACTCAAATATGTCACTTGGGAAAACAAAAAGAAACTGGTACAACAGGATGAGGTAATTATTAGATTCCACGATAAATTCGTATCAAAAATGATATGGAGACATTCTCATAAAGGCCACTAAAACATGGTTCCAAACTCATACCTATAACTAAACTTCAATACTAACGTGACACGCACACAGACTATATTTATTGGGTAAGATAATGTTAAACGGAAATCTCAAGTAATCCCATGATTGGCGTGTTGATTGCAGTTTTTTCACTCCGCCCACTTGACCGCAGTTTGCGTAAAACCACTTTTTAGCGCAGTTCGTATTCCATATTACATATTGTTTCCAATTCGTTGATTTGATTAAATATTTATATTTTAAATGCATGAATACGTTTTGTTCTTCTTTATCCCGTATCTACCCATCTACTCATCTTTATGCCACTCTGAGCCACTTTCTTACCGCTGTTTCGCGATGTCACCCCGCATGCGGGTTTTCTGTCCTATCATTGTTTGTTCTTCGCTCCGCTATAGCAAGAATCCACCTTTCGTCTATTTCAGGGCCGGATTTAGGATTGTGGAGGCCCCGGGCCACTTAGGATTTGTATTCTTGTTAACCCATCGACCACCGCTATCGGAAGGTCGTACAATTTCTGCAGTAAGCTTTGCATAAATCTGCTTGCTTTTAAATATAATAGTTATTTTTTTATTTTAGGGTCACGGTCCCAACGGGTCTCACGCGAAATTCACAAATTATTCGTTCGACGTACAAGAATTTCTTAGATTGGTTGCAAAATGTGCGGAGCACGTGAGGAAACGACAAGATTTCAAAAACTTTGTAGAAGCCTCCCTCCTGAAGAAAATGCACGAAGAGCTGTAACCTGGAAGAGCTGCAAACTAGGCAAATAACTATTCAAGTACAGTTAAGATAAAAGCTACTTTTTGTAGTTAATTGTTCGAATAATTTTTTGGGGATTACGACTGCATCTCTGCATGACAATCTTGCCAATCCGGGCTAAAAGAATGAAATGTTTTTTTGAGACTACGGCTTTGTTGACTTTGTGCAGTGTGTGCGTGAGCCACCAACTCTTTCGAGTTGTTTGTAGCAACACATTGACATAATATATACATTTCGAATACCAAGCATCCGTGCATAATGAATTGTTGTTGAATTAACTATTTTATTATAAATCAATATCTCTTATTATCCTATGATTTAGTGAAAAAGAGCATACATGTTGATAATGGAATGTTTGCTTACGCTGATTTGGACAAATTGTTTATTTTAGCAAATTACAACACGCTTTATATGATACATTTTTTTTAAGTTTCTTGCTGATAGAATCTTTTATTCTCGAAGGGTAAAAACTTACTTATAAATAATTATATTTAGATTTCTGCCGTAGCTTGAACCGCATTTGAGATTATACTGTTGAGAATCAGCCTTATAACAATCACTAACTCATACCCTCATTGTTGCATTTACCTATGACAGCTGTCAAAGTATGGAGTGTGTCATCGTCTGGCATGCGCACGCCTGTTCATTCTTTATTACCTATATTTGAGAGCAATTATAGATTAAGTGGAGACAGTTGGTTTCACCTGTAATGGCCCGCGCAGACAACGGACTTTTCTCCGCGTATTATGAAAAAATTGACCGCCGAGGACTTTTTACGGACTTAACGCAGACTATGCGGACATTTGTCCTCCCAAATTTTTGTGAGACGCTCTATGGAAGCAATAAATATTCTGAGATAAAGCTTTTTGTAATAACATGAAGTTTAAAAAAAAGACGGTCCAAAATAGAATACTGGGTCCATCCCTTTATATCGGATTGATTATTTGTATTGTTAAGATTATTTAAGCCTTGTAAAGGGAGGAGGAAGAAATCTTTATGATGTTTTCTTCCTCGTTTCTTTCCTTATTCATTGCCCCATATGCCCTCTTGACCGCAGTCAGTTCGGTCTTTAACCTTTCCATTCGTCCTTCAGGTGTTGGTAAGAGGATTTTAGTTTGGCTATTTCTGCGTTCGCTGCCTCCAGTTTTCCCTCCTCGGACACGTTCTACAAGATTTGTCTCACTTCCGGCTCTCTTCCATCCTCTTCTAGTTTTTGCAGAAATTGTTGTCTTGTAGGGTCGGAATATTCTTAGCTATCTCATCAATACCTTTAGCTAATCTTTTGACCTTCCCCTGGTCTACTCCAGTCCCTTCATAATCCTTCCCTTTCCTCTTTTAGAATACTCTTCTTCTTCTTCATCTTCACTATCCTCCCTGGTCCCGGCTATGAAGCCAGCATACCCGCTGCCTCCCATTTCCCGGTCATATTCCTCTATGTAGGCGTTATTTCTCATCCAGATGTCCAATTTGCGCAATCCCGATTGTCCATATCATGCCCCGCTCTCGGTTTTATCCCTCCCGGATGAGTGAATTTTGGGTAATGCATAAGGAACGCCTTTCGATACCGCCTATGCCCGGTAGGGCCGCTGCTTAGTTTCCATAGAAACTTTTACAATGGCGATAGGAATACTTTCTCGCTAATTTATCGTCGCATTCGACGTCACATCGCAGTTTAAGGATCTATTATCTCACCAGACGTCGAGTCTTTAATTAGGACTGTCAGATTTCAGAAGATGTCAAGTTGTAATTTGAGCTTAATGTCGTCTCGTAGGGCATCTGTCAGCGCGACAAGATATGCCACTATGAGATATAAGGTTGAGTATGCATTGCTTAATCTCAAATGTGTTTTAAGCATAGGCACGAACACTTAAGTTCTATAGTGAGTGTATGTGCATTGACTAGTTGGTTTCTGTAAGGCAGGTGACCTACACGTCCTCTCTCGTTCTAAAATTTATTACTTCTGTATGTTTCAAAAAGATCTCTTATCTATTAGACAAGTCCGTCCGTCCGTCTGTGGTGCTGTTTCAGCGGCCAAACCGTAAGAGATAGATAAAGAGAATATTTAAGTTATAAGTTAAGAATAGTCTGATAAGACTACAAACCGGATTTGAGTAACGTAGCACTTCCGGTTTTCGAGAAATCACGAATTTCAAACGAAACCACACAAAATCTCCGATGTTCTCAATTAATTAAATACATTTTTTTAAAATCAGGTTTTGGTGAACATTTGGTTCACTGGTTTGCTAGTAGAGCTATATTGCATAAAATCTGACGCATGAGTTACGTACTTCTCTTTATCAAGTACTTAAGTTTTTTTAAGATAACTTTAAATTTAAAAATGTATTTAAACTAATGTGATACTATTGTGATTTTACTGCATAGGTTTAAGCATTATATCGAAGAAGATGCTATTAAATACAAACAACAAAGAAACAAATTGTACAAATAAGTAGATCTTTGAGGTAGTCTCACAATGTTATTAGTAGTAATGTGTGCTCATATATTATGATGAATCATCTCATAAGCAGGTGCAGAATTCGAATAAGCATAATTTGAAAACATTTACATTATTATGTATTTTTCCTTTACTATAAGGATAAAAGAAGCTCGCCGATCCGATCGTTAGGATCGGATCGCCGCACCCATCACAATAACGACGAGTGTGATATCTTTTTGTCAAAGACATTAATTTATTATGTCCTTACATATGAAATTAGCGATTTGTCGTACTGACCACTTTGATCTGAAATATCAACTCTTTGGTTAAGAATTGCAAATTCAAATTTATAAATTCATTTAGCTAGTACATTTGAGTTTGAAATAGTCATTCATTTGTTTTTTTCGTCATTACTTTTTTCTTTGGCATCGCTTATCACCGCACAATGGAAAACATGAAATATCGGTATATTTACGAGTTCGAGTTCTACCGTGGCACTAGTGCTGCAGAAACAGCTCGAAGGATTAATGATGTGCACTGCGCTGGTGTCGCAAAAGAAAGCACGATACGTTTTTGGTTTCAACGTTTTCGTTCTGGAAATTTCGACCTTCAGAACCAAACCCCGTGCACGGCCGGAGACCTAAGTGGAAAATGAAGAATTAAAAGCTATTGTGGAAGCGGATCCATCTCAAAGCACTTCAGAGATAGCTGCAGGCTTTGGGGTAAGTGACAAAACTGTAGGTATTAATCTACTTGAAGCAAATCGGGAAAGTAAAAAAACTTGACCTCATGAATTGAGCGAATCGAACTTGCAAAAACGCGTCGACTGCTGTTACTTTGCTCAACCGACACAATAATGAAGGGATTTTAAATCGAATCATTACTTATGATGATAAGTGGATACTGTACGATAATCGGAAGCTTTCGTCGCAATGGCTGAACTAAATCCTGCCCTAAATGAAAACTTACTCGGAAAAAGTTATAATGCGATTCAAATAAGAATAGGAAAGCCAATGACTTCCATCTGTCAAATGTCGCTTGAAAAGTACAGTTTGCAAAAAAAAAACTCGGAACACTTATTTAGCACTCAGCTAATTCTAGAATAAAAATCAAACATTTTTAAACAAACAATAAGAAATATTGATAATTAATATTGGTTGATATTTTTTTTCATTTATTAAGCTTTGGCTATGAATGGTTGATAACCTAAATCGTCAACCAAATGTCACTTTATGTTGCGTTTAGGAACTCGATTTAATACTTTCGTTTACATATAGGGGGCCGTTCAAGTATTACGTAAGCACTATAGGGGGGCAGGGGGGTCTTTGCTTTGCTTATTTTGAATGACACGGGGGGGTGGGGGTAAATAATTGTAATAAATCTGCTTACGTAATACTTGAACGGCCCCTAGGATGCATGTTTGTATGAGACCTGCATGATTATTCATAACTAATCCGGCGGTAATGCAGAGATGAGCGGAATTGAAGAGCTAGATCTGATTAATGTTTTTTCTCACACAGTCTTAATAAAGAAATATTATTAAAAATAGGTTGTTTTTTCTCTCAATCTTAGTAAATTAATTTTATTAAACAATCTGATGTTTTTTCTCACTTAATCTAAGTAAATAAGTTTTATTAAATAGAAACTTTTTTTGCTCACTCTACCTATTTGGTTTGAATTGACAGCTATGACATCAAAATATGGCGCCCAGTCGGTCCTATTCTTAGTTGAATCGCATTATACTTGTGAGTGTTTGGTGGACAAGCGCCGGTGTCGTTCACTACAGCTTTCTAAAATCTGGCCGATTGATTGATTGATTGATTGCGGCAGATGTCTATTGTCAGCAACTGCAAACCATGAAGGAAGAACTAGCTGCTAAACAAACGAGATTGGTCAATCGCTGTAGGCCACTGCTGCTTCACGGCAACGCAAGACCACACACTGCACAACAAACAACCACTAAGTTAGATGAGCTACAATTGGAATGTCTGCGACATTCACCGTACTCCCCGGACTTTGCTCCAACAGATTACCATTTTTCCAGAATTTGGACAACTTTTATTTCAAGGAAAAAAAATCAACTCCGATGCGCCAGTCTAAACCGCCTTCAAAAATATATTGATTGTCGCCCCTTTGTGTTTTTTAGTAAAGGGATCAATGAACTAACTATGAAATGGCAAAAGTGCATAGATAGCGGTGCATACTTTGGTAAATTAAATATATTTTACAACAAAAAAAATGACTTTATATTCCTCCCGTACAAAACGCCAATTTCATATTTAAGGACCTAATATAAGTATTTTGTTTTTTGTCATACAAATAACTTCTTTGCGTTTTTCACAATTCTGCCAATAGCATGTCTTTATTTCACATATTGAAATAAGAACCGGTCATAAAAGTATACGGGATAAAAAAAAACAACTATAAAAAAAATTAACTTTACCGTTTATGAAATTAATACTCAGCAGTTCGAATTTCGTATGTATTTTTGAATATACGACAAAAAATGCAATAGCATGTTAAAGAGTGCGTTAAGAGAAAACAAAGAAGCTGTAGTCGTAAATTTTTACTTAAGGCTTTTTAGAATAATAGGATATAGTAAATTCTTTTTTCAGATATAAGCAACAGCCAGTGTTGCCAGATCCAATTTTTTTAAATCCGTAGGGCTGCGTTCAAAAATCCGTAAAAGTCCGTAGATTGCCTCTAAAAAAATCCGTAGATCTACCGACATTTTTAAAGCTTAACTTTAGGCTTAATCCATATCTTGATCCATCCATGGCTTGACCTTACTATTTAGGGATGGACTGATGACGTTAAACCTAATTCCTTTTCGGTAAATAAATTTATAAAAAAAAAGGAAGAAATGCGTAGTTTTTTAATATTGATCATTATTACTGTCGGTGTCAATCTCACGATTTAAATACCAACAAATAAGTAGTTTATTCCGTTTTGCATTAGTCGCTAATTAAACTTGTCTTTGGAGTTAGATTTTTGCTTCTTTAATCCGAAGACTCATGGTGTGGTGACATTTAATACAGACAATCAAACAAAAAAAAAGAAGACTGAGTGGATGACTGACTGACAATCAACGCACAGCCCGAACTACTGGATCTAGAGACTCCAAATTTGGCACGTAGGTTCCTTAGAAGGTCTAGGGGCGCACTAAGAAAGGATTTTTCTAAATTCACCCGGGTTTAAAATATGGCATGAAAGTTTGTATGAAAAATGTTATTCCTTGTGTTAATAGACTTGAAACTTGGCACGTACGTACTTATCTAAATAAATTACAAAGGTTGTCATTTTAAGTTTCCTAAATACCCCTTAAAAGGGTATTGGGAGGGTGTCAAAGTTTTGTATGGATGACTTTTAACGCGCATTTCGATTAACTTGAAACTTGATATTTTTACTTAAGACCAGATAAAAGGAATAAAGTGTATCAGGGTTTTTCGAAAATCTATCCCTAAGAGGATAAAAAGGGCATGAAAGTTTGTATAAAAAGCTTATTCTTTGAGTTAATAGACTTAAAACTTGACACGAATACTTAAATAAATTATAAAGCATGCAATTATTGGTTTGCCTGAACTATCCCCAAAGGGTGGATTGGAGGGTGCCCTATTTTTTATATGGATTAATTTTAACGCGCATTCGATTAACTCGACCTAGTATTAGTACTTCAGACCCGAAATAAAGAAATACCATGTATCAGGGTTCATATATAAAAATAAGATAACTGTATTAATCGTCCTTAAGAGTTGAATTTAAACTTTTTCTATGCTTTAGTTCTTGTTCTAAGCAAAAAACAAAGAAATGCAAGTCGCAGGACGCCATCCTAGCCAACCCCCTATCGGAGGAGGCTGGTGTGCTTTGCAATATGGTAGCAAAAATTTCATGTAATAATTAAGTAATTTTAAGAAAATTGTATGGTTAGGTTACGATGGGGCTGGTATGGACAATTTGGGCCGAAAGTCGCTTAAAACAAAAAATAAAGTCGCAGGTCCTTTTTTGGTGTTACGTTTCGTTTTATGCAGTTTTATTTAATTCGAATATTTATACTGTTGTTGTGGTGGATAAAATCGAAAAAAATCTGTAGATCTACGGACAAACCCAAAGGTCTGGCATCACTGGCAACAATGGCTTTTCTTTTAATTTATAGGTTATTTTAAATTTAATTGATGAATCTTATGTACCTACTAATGATGTAATTGTTTCACAACAGGTTGTACGATACACTAAGTCCATTGCTTATGTAGCAGCATGTCTGCATAAAGATTTTATCATGGGGTAATTTTTACTTCTTTCGTTTTATGTTTCGTTTCGAAGAATGTATTATAAGGATCAGATTTAAGGACAGATCTTCACAATTAATTAAGAAATGTGTATAAAAAAATCTTCATTTTTTCTGTTGAGCAGCAGCTTCAGAAAATCAGCAGCAGGAAGATTTTCAACAAATTTGCATAACCTGAATAGCTGTTATGCCTATATAAATATTATTCATTATTACGCCTTTGCGGCTGTTATACAAAATAGTCTAATATTTATAAAACGTAATAATATCTGTATGTGTATCTCTTTCCATACGAAATTGAAGGCTATAAATGTTCGGCTCAATAATGCAGTACATCACATGCAAAAAGGCGATGAACGTTGTTGATACAATCTGTTTAATTTATTGTTTTGCGAATGCACCGCTAGTTTAATTGTAACAGCGCCGTCGAATGTAAGTTTCGTAATTACAGCTCGCAATATTCAGATAAATTGTTCACAAGATTCGACGGGAGTTTCATGTCCCGTTGAATTATTGACGTTCACTGTTACAGTTAATCCTCCGATTCTCAGTAATTTTGGTCGGTAAACTTTAAGTAAGTACAGACAACAGCACTTTGGGTTATCCAAAACTGTCAAATTTCTATAAGTGGTTGCCAACCTTAATGTATATTGCATGTAGTATGCCTCCGAATTGATGGCGAAAATTTGTTATTTCGTGGTTACTTTTGTGTTCTGGTTTGTCATTATTGTCATCAACGATGTATTGTTTTATTAATATTTACCTTACCTTTTTTATTTTGTTTTGTTCTAACCAGTTATATTTTTTACGTGCAATTGGCACGTCTTGGGAATATTTGCAAGTATCGAGTATATTATAATATTTGATCAAAAGAAAAGTGCCGTAACTTCCACTTTGATTTAATCATTGAATGACTCTATAACATTATTTTAAAGTATACCTGCATCACATGTGGAACCCTAAAATTGAGAATGGTCGGAGGATGTGAGCAGTAAACTGCAAAGCAATCGCATAATATTGAGGCAATATTTATAGAGGGAAATTAATGGGGAATGGTCAGCGGCCGCGGGCCGC